GTGGCATATTCCGAATTTGCCTATACAATATCCTCTAATCAAGCCATTCATTCTTTGCTCTTCAATAATATTACGAGGTCTGACGTCACAAGCTTATCAGGTAACGATTGTCGACAAAACTACCCGGCAAACCTCCGGTGCAAGAGAAAAAAAGAATGTTGTCACATTTGGCCATCACAAACAACTAAGGCCCGCGCCGACCGCAAGCAGTAAAAGCTTCGGTCTCTGCTCCCTCCTCAAATGGGGGTTTTCTTTTTAAACTTCCTGAGGGCGCTGAAAGGCCCGACTAAAAACCTCGTTTTACGAACAACCCTCTTCTTGGTCTACTTACTTTTTGGCGCCGCCGTGTTTCAAACGATCGAATCAGGTGCGGAGCACAAGGAAATACATCATTTTGACAAAGTACAGCAAGATATGAAACAGAAGTACAATATTTCCGATGAAGAAATGAATCATCTCTTTGAAGAAATTTCGAAGGCCATCGACGATGGGTATTTTGACGTGGGCTATGACCGGTGGAGTTTTGCGGGATCGCTGTTCTTCACTGGGACGGTAGTTACTACCATTGGTGAGTAGAGAAATGACCGAATATTGTACCGCTTAAAATATACATATCATTGTTTGCCTTAGCGATGCGTTTAAATTATCTTGTTGCCTTTTGACCCAGGAAATATAGTCAGTTGTTATATTGTAAGTTTACAAGGTCGGCGTTAGTTTGCGGTGTACCATTAAAATGCCGAAGAAACCTACGTAGAGCTCTCACAATTCTGGTTCTGGTCTTAACACTCTGTTACAACGCTAGTGTTTGTACATTTGCGTACGGCTTTCCGCTTTGTGGGAAGCAAAACTGTTCGACCGATCAGCCCGCAGCAGTGGTTAATTTTAGTTGGATGTTTGCTTTTCGATTTCTCGTTGCTTGAAAACGAAATCTTCCCTTTATCATGGAGAAAAGAAAAAATAAATGTTCTAATCGTGATTTACTGCTGTCAAAGTTTGGTCATTATCGACCAAAGCTCGTGAGATCGAAACTTTAGTTTGCCTTTTGGTTGATATAAACTTTTAAATTTTCAAACACTTTACAACATTAAACCACTCTCTTCGTGCTCAAAAATTGTTATTTAAGTACCGATCAAAAGTCCTACCTCCTTTTGTCGGGAATTAAAAAAATGACTTGGATCAAAATGTTGCGTCGAATATGAATATTCAAAAATTTGTTTCCGACGTTGATCGGATGTTAGCAGTTTGTTTTGTTTTGTGGGATTGTTCGCTCATTCGAGAAGTTCATTGGCTCCTACTTAGAAATGGATCATTCCACTGATTCGAAAATTGTAATTTCCAATTTTTCCAAACGAAATAGTACGCCTCACTTTTTTTCTGAGAATTAATTTCGCTACGAAGCGAAATGTTCTTAACTCAAGCTGTGGTTCTGCTATATTATGCAAAATAGTGATCAAAAGATTATGAACTTAAAGCGGACAAGACGACAAAAAACAATAGAAGCGTACAGGTTCATTTATTTCTCTCACTGCTTGAAAAAAATCCAATTTTATCCAAGTGAAAGCAAAATATCTAGTTTCTCTCCTTTCGATCGCGCTAGAGAACAGTACTTGCTGCTCAATTAGAAAGGATATCATTAAATGCCTATTTTCAGGCGTGTAAATAAAAAATTGAGCTTTCCCATTCAAAATGTGAATCTGTCATTTCTATCGAAATAGAAATTACCGGCGAATGAATATTTTATTCTACCCACGAAACTATTGCGCCGATCAAAGACTGTGGTGGTCTTAGAAATTTTCCAACCTTTGGTTAAGTCGATCACTGAAAAATAAGGTTCTCATTTTTTTGCTTGGATGTAATATCGTTTCCGTCAGAAAGGATTGTATATTTATTTTAAAAGCAGCTGCTTGTTGTTGCAGTAGAAAGGGTCTTCTTTATGGGCAGGAGTGATTAAAAAGCTCCGTAAAACTTGACGCAGTCGAACAATATGACCAAAAGCAAGAGTGGTTCGATGTAAAAAGAAAAGAATTAAATTAATAAAACCGTTGAACAATTTTATAACACGTGCAACTCGAAAGGCAAATCAAGATATGAATGTCATTCGAGATTTTATCCAAAAGCAGATTGTTCTTTCTCTCAAATGGACAGAGGAGCAAATGTTATTGGTGAAATATCCGTCTGGGGCAAGTTTCTTTATTTTATGACTGCTGGGCCATATTTCCACAGAAATCTGATTCGTTTACGTAAATACAAACCCATATCTTCTATTTTCAAATTACCTTAATTTGGTAAAGAAAAGAAAAACATTCGTCTTCGAAGGAAAATAATCAAACCAAAAAGTGTGCTTGAGAACCAATTTGTTACAAGGCCATAGCTACTTCCGATCAAATAAATCTGAATATTTCTCTATCAATATCGTAGAGTTTTAGAACTGTTCCTGGAGAGTGTTAGATCGCACCCCTTCCCTCGATCAGCAAGTTCCTGTGATTTTTTTTAGGAATTTAATATAATACGTGTACAATATATTTCTGAATCAGTGCCGAAGTTGTAGAGTTCGTTCTCTTTGCAGCGTTCTATCAAGCTATGTTTATAATAAACAAAAATAAAAATAGCGAAAAATTGTTTCCTAATAGGAAAACACCTGGCTAAATCTTAAAAGTGTTTTTTAACGTCTTTTTGGCTTTGGATGAATTTATCGGGAAAGTTAGGTCGGTCAACGCACGAATGCAATATCTCACGTTTCCTTCGTCCCCTTTTTGTAGAAACAGCGTACAAATAGAGTAAAATGCACCAATCTTTGTTCTTTTGAAACTGCTAAATTTAACGTATCAGTGATTTTTCCGCATTGTGTTGTTTGATTTCGAACTTAATTGTCTCGAAAAATCCCTAAATTTAACGTACGAGTGGATTTTCCACATTTCTACCTTTCATTAATGGACTGTGTGTCAAGTCAGTTAAGAATTTGTTTCTGCATATGTCTCACTGATTCGTGTTTAAGGGAATAAAACCAGTCTTTTAACATATTTAAAAATGGCTTTGCTTATTTCACGTTTACAAAGATAGCAAGACAGGATTGCTTGAAAGTTCCATTTGTACTACACAGAAATAACTGTCGAGTTGGACTTTTCTTAACGGCGTAGAAACTGAACGAACCTATAGAATTAACACCTTTTTTATCGCTTGTGTTAGCAGGGATGCCAACTGGGTATTTTTTCAGTTGATCGTTGCTTAAATATAGTCATATTCAACCATGAATGAAAACTGAAGTTTACACGAAGTAATCTTATCCTAAAAACACCGCATGAAACTAAATCACTGTAACAGTTATTTAGTTTATTTTTCGAGCACTATATTATACCGCTTCATGATCAGGTAATCATCACTTCTACTTTTCTGGTTTACATTCGATGTAAATCGGTTTCTTATCAGTGATTTTAGGAGACTACAGAAGTCGCCTTTAATGGAAGACTCGGTAGCGAAATTCAGCATATTATTTTATTGTTTTAGAATTGTATATTTCATGACGATCTTTCGTGGAAGTATTCTTTCCGGTTTATATTACAATTACATTTAGTTATTTTGTTCTAATTTATTGAAATTAATGTTTTTTCGACAAAAATCAGAGTTTCCATCCGGCTCCCGCGGAACGCTGAAATAAGTTATTTCTAATGGTTTCGTTTTGTATATACGATGCGGGCCAAAAGAGCCTGAATAACGACCGATATTTGCTGTATAATCGATCTCAGTCAACCTGAATCGCCAAAATTCTTTTGTGTTTCTAGTTGAAACTTTGCCACAGTTTTCTCGCTTTTTATTTTATTCAGGTCTTGTTGAAACCATTTTTTCGCGTTAGAGTCTGTTAAGTTCTGCTTCCTATAATATGAATCAAATTAATTTCGGTTTGAAATGACCAAAAATGTTAGGGGGGAGCCTTTTAGTGTATTAAATTATCATCTTAGAATGTGGTTCCTCGTCTTTATTAACCTCAGCTGATAACATCGAACCACAATAGATTTGTCATCAGGTTTCTTTATAGAGCTTAAACCATTTAGACAACTGAATTACAATTGTCATGGTTCCAAAGAAATGCTACAATGTATGTGTGTACAATTCACCCAGCTAGGTAAATGCTATTCTCAAGTATCATGGCTCCCTAGTGCAAATATTTGGAAATATGTGAATTCCGAGGCATAATTGAAATCAATTGGGTCTGCAGCTTTGCGAGTAAATAATTTATCGGTTTCTTTTGTACGATTGAGATGAAATATTGTTTACTCGGTTATTTCAGTCAGAGATTTCTAATACAGACACCTTTATTGTTAATGTGCCTGATTTGCATATTTCGCGCCTCGATTACGCCCTCGCACACTAACTTAAAACTTATTAACGATGCAAACTGCTAGAAAAACAGGATTGTAATTTGTCTTGGCGCCGATGCGATGCCCACTGTGTTATATTTTTGGACTATGTTGGCTCTTGTATTTACGCTTCCAACCGTTTGTATTCGTGCAAGCTTGAGTGTTTTATTTTCAGCTTAGAAAGGAAGGCACCCGATCAATGTCTTTACCCACGATCTCTCGCTGAAGAATGTATATTCGTTTTTTTTTATGTGTTCGGGGCCAGGATATAATAAAATCTTCCATAAAATCGTATTTTAGAGGTAAAAATTAAAAAAGAGCTAAATAAATGTTCCATCATTGTAATCAGAATCAGGAATGCTTTATGGTGTTTCATAATAGCATTTGAGTTTTAACTCAACTAGAGGTAGCAAATCTTGTGATTTGTTCCAGGTTTTTTAACAGCTACCTTAAATATTTTTATTTTGTTTTAGAACCGTGAAACAAATTTTGTCATTAACTATGTGGCCTACAACTTCGTTTAGATTATCAGCGTGAGATAATTTTTATTGCAGTTAATCCTCCGACATGTTTTTATTTTACATAAGACGTAAATCAAGAAAGTTTTAGGTGATTACAAGCTTAGCAGGAGCTTACCATCTCACGTTCGTTCAGTTTAACATATATGAGGATATAAAAGCTATCTCTCTTTAGGAGAATATACAATAGGTTTAGTCGACTAAATCCCTACCGAAAGCCCATAAACGCGGCCATTAATAAGAATCATTCCATGGCGAGTTGATTATTGGTAGCGGGGAAGTAGAGACTTACTAACATATCATGTACCTCCGATATAGAACTAAAAAGGAAATACATGATAATAATGAGTTCAACGGCAAAACGTAAACTTCTTGCTAAGCTGATTATTGTAGTTGGGAAGTAGAGGCTTACTCGAAGATCGTGTACCTTTGATATAGGACTAAAAAGGAAATACATGATAATAACGAGTTCAAACGATTGAACGTAAGGTAAATCCCCTTTTCAAAGCAGGAGGCATTGCACTTTTTGTCAAACGTCTTGCTTATTTGATCATTGTGGTGGGAAGGTAGAAACTTAGTAAGAGATCAGGTACCTCCGACATCGGACGAAACTAAAAACAAAAACAAAACAAAACAATACAGCTGTATTTTTGTCTTGTTTCTTCAAGAAAAGGCTGTACGTCAATGTTGGGCCCGATGCCCGTAGAGAACCAATCATGCATCTTAAAATCAGAAAAAAATGAGTAGGCGTAAAAAATGAAAAATTCTCAACGCTTTTCTGTGCCCAAGGCGTGTTTTCCTTATTATTTCATTGTGTGGCGGCCAGGTAGTTTTTTAACCCCAAATCCATCTCAACTTGTTTTAACTGCGATGAATATTAGCTTTTAGCTTTTAAAATCAAGGGAAAAGAAATCTATGTTTATTGACCTTTTATTCCGGTACATATGCTTTAAACCCGGAAAGCTTTGAACTCTTAAGAGACTCGAAGACTCTTCGAAGAGTCTTACCCTCAGCAATGGCCTTTTCATGCCAAACAAAAACAGTCTTTATTGGCTGCAATGTGATGAATTTTTATGCATTTCTGAAATAAACTGTTCAAAAGATGGTTCGTGGGTAAAACTATATAAAATGTCCAGTCAGAATTGGCAGTCGCAAAGTGAAACTAAATATGACTTCCAAGGCAGAGCGCCCCCCCCCCCCCAAAAAAGTGACATTTATTTAACTTTCCACATTTGTATATCATGTAGATGAACAACTTACAAGGCATACTCTAAACAATCAACGGCCATTCTGCTAGGGGCCATGCACGAAATGTTGTTTGGCTCTTTAATACTACTAAAACCTCTGCGTATTAAACAACAGAATGTACACAACTGCCTCATCACCTAAAAATCAGGGGCACCCAACGACAATTGTTTGAAAATATCTGTTCGGAAGACGATTTGAAATCTAGAATTTTCGGAACATTTGTTGTTAAATTTCTTGCTTGCACGCCTCTCCTGAGATTTTCGAACCTTCCAAAAATGGTATAATTGCCTATTGTTAACGGATTTTTACCGTGAAAAGGTCACCTAGAATTATCGGGAGCCTTTTTCTGGCTGAAATTTTCGAATAGGTAAGTTTTGATGCCTATAATTTTCGGATCATTAGACTTTCAGCTAGGAAATCCGAACAGATGAAAAATTTTTAGGAGATGAAAATATGCCTATATCTACCGTTTAAATACTAAAATACGTTCAAAAATGCTATGTTTAAGTGGTTTTGAACTATATTCTCGTTGGGTGCCCCTGAAAAATGGAATCACTTTTACTCGGCTTCAGTCCACAGGTTCGCTTAGCACAAGAACCTGTAGATAGAAGTGTCAGGCCAAATACTAGTAGCAGCTGTACAGCAATCGTTTCAAGGAGCAAAATAGCTGACGTGGAAAATCCAGTCATTTGTTTCTTGTATTATCGTATCTTATGACACTAAGATGGTTCTCGTAGTCTGCAGTTTCGACTGTATTGTTGATAAAACGTCGCAAAATATAGAAAAGTATTTTTGGTGTTAAAGCACAAAAATGCGTAACGGCAGAATGTACACAACTGCCTCATATCCTAAAAATGGAATTACTTTTACTCGACTTCAGTCCACAACTTCGCTTAGCACACGAACCTGTAGAAAGAGGCGTCAGGCCAAATGCTAATAGCAGTTGTACAACAATCGTTTCACCGAGCAAATTAGCTGACATTGAAAATCCAGTCGTTTGTTTCTTGTATTATCGTATCTTATGACACTGCTGTCTCGGTGATTCTTGTAGTCTTCAGAGTCGACTGTATTCTTAATGAAACGTCGCAAAATATAGAAATTAATTTCGGTGATATAGCACAAAAAGGACAATAAATTTTTTAAGATTTCGTGCAGGACTAGAAAGGTGGGAATGGATTTCGGTTCATCGAATTGGATTCCGTCCAATCCAACAGTTAAACTACATAATTCTAGAGAAATTAGTTCTTTTTTCTACCGGTTATGTCCTTTTTTGCTTCTCGTTCTTTACGTGATAAACAACATACTTGTCCCTGAGTTTTTAATTATAATTCAGTAAGATCGGACTCAGCAAAGAACTGGAGACACACCAGGCTGCCGTTGTCAGTACATTTGTGATCTCATGGTTGGTCGTCTTTTAAATGATAGAAAACAAAGGGTATCTTGCAGCAACTCTGAGTGTGACTGGAAACCGGTTGCCAAAGGGACAACTCAAGGTAGCGTTAGCGGTCCTTACCTTTTCAATATCTTTTTCAATGATCTTAACATCACTTTAGGTAATCATTACGCGCTATTTAAGTGCGCTGATGATTCGACAATTATTGTTCCTGTATGGAAGAAGGTAGTCTTCTCCGATCAGTTAGTGTCACAGTCTTCAGACTGGACGAATGCAAATGGAATGTCTTGCAATCCAAGCAAATTATGTAAAGAGTTGACGATCAAAAACGGAGGCAACCGCGATCTCTATTAACCTATTGGGATGATACCTTCCAATGCGACAGAAAATTTCAGTGCACGTGAAGAACAAACTTATTAAAGCTAACAAATTCCTACATATCCTTAGAACGCTGTGCAAAGGGGGGTACAATCAGTCAGAAATAGACCTTCTCTTTAATACAATAGTTCTACCCAATCAGTATTAATTACGCATTATCTGTCTACGCTGCGTCCGAGTCCGATCTTACACCTCAACAATGCTTCTTCGACCGCTGTTTTAAAAGGAAATATACGTCTAAGCCAGTAAGTGTTTATGATTTCTTAGAGAGGCAAGACCGTAAAATTTTCAGAAAAGTTTCTAATAGTAAAGGACATCCACTTTTATCTATTATGCCTCGCGTTAAACCGTCCGGTTACAATCGTAGGAAAGAAACCTGTTTTAAACCTAAGATTATTAACACTAGATTCGTTGTAAAAACTCTTTTATTAACCGTTTAGGGTTTTAAATATGAATTAGCTATGTAATATACTAAATTTTTTAATTCTTACTTTTTCCCTTTTTGAAATTTCTTACACTTACTTGTAACAAAAAGATATGTATTTTTTTCTTTTGATGAATAAAGACTTTATTATTGTTATTATTATTATCCCTGCGTGATGGGTAAAAAGATGTCAGTGAAGATAGTTTATGTAGCGATCGGCGATCGTTGAGGCATTATTCAGGGTGCTTTTCATCTGATTACTGCTTTCCTTAAGCTCAGCACGATCCCGATCGAACCTAGCCTTAACCCCCACCCACCCCATCCTTGATATGACTTCGTTGAAGAGGTGTAGTTAGAAGTAATTTAAACTTTGAAGGTAGGCCATACCATCGGGGACTACCTTCAGAGCTTTTTTCGAAAACGTTCTCTTGGTTCTTTTTTGTCTCCATCGTTGAGAAGGAAATAATTAATGTAAGTGAACAATTCGAATTTCTATTACTACTGTTGTGATAGGATCGAACTGAATCTATCATCCCAAAAGGATTTACTTGTTCAATGTTTTTGCCATTACTGAAATTTTGTTAATGGACAAGTTATATATTCGCACCCATAATTTAAAGCCCCTGTAGACTACACAAATTTTGTCGTAACCTCTCTTGAAATTTTGCTGCAACATATGTTTAACATGTTACGCGACATTTTTGTTACAAGAATGCGTTCATAAGGCTATCAAGTTCTACTTTTTGTAACGATCACAGCAGAAAACATTTTGCGAGACGTGTGCATTTTTAGGAGGTCTTGTGCAACAGTTCACGCCACGGCCTTTCAAAACTACGAGACAAAGTGCATCAAAAACTGTCTAGTGTTACAGCACCTTGTACCTTTAAAATGCTTTTAAACAAACGAAAAAGAATCCTGGACTAAAATTTAACCCCGGTTTAGCGCTAATCGCCATTTCAACAAATGGGGCCTGTAGTTAATTATCGTAGCAATTTGAAAAGTTTAAACACCGTCAACACACTTTTCGCAAAAGTGTAAAACGCTTTCTTCGTCCTGGGTATTTTAAGTGCCCGACACTCGACTCTTTTCGTAAGAAATTAGAAACAAACTTTACACTCATCCGAACTGTAATTTGCATGATAATTTGGCACTCCCACAAGAAGAAAGTTATGTGCTATTCTGATTCTAATAGAGTAAAATATATATCACGCGAGGGGATGGAAATTGCTGGTTTCCATCAGAGGTCACTGCGGCCATTATGGTTGACAAGAACAAAGCGTTTCTCTTCCTTTGGAAAACTACACTTTTTTTCTTGCAAATACAGTAAAAATCATATAAGAACCTAGAATATTCAAGGTCAGGCTGAATAGGTTTGTAATAGGTTCTTATTTTTCAGAGGTTTTCGTAGTGTAGCCATTGGCAGGAATGTTTTACTTCTAATACATACAAATGTAATGGTCTATGGAAAACATATTTCTAGTGAAAATCCAAACAAATATAAATCAAAGGAGACATATACACAATAACTTTTGTCAAAAGTTTCTCACACAATTAAATAGAGAATTTTGGCCATCAAAAGTGGAGTGATTCTTTTGTATAAGAACCTATTTTTCTTTGCTAGGTTGAACAGGTTCTTAATATATTTCTGGGTATTTCAATGCCAAATGCTAGCCTGTAGGTTCTGAAATCACTAGATTCTTTTATGCGGGTTTTTGCTGTACTGAGAAAAAAACAAGAACGATTTTCAGTTCTTAACTTAAGAACTGATTTTCTTCAGCTTACAACCAAAATATATTTAGTATATCAAACACCAGACGCAGTGTTTGAACACGTGTGGCATACGGAGGGAAGAGTTGAAAATACAACGTGTAGCAGAGTATTTTTGACGTTTTTGATTTTGTGATAAAACATTTTTTTTTCGAGTGTTTGATACAACTTGAACAAAGTAATTTGATGGGGAAATTAAGGACGGAGAAATAAGGAGTGTTTCATCAGATATTCAAATACGTCACCGCGCATAATTTCCTTTCTATCTGGGTCTTGAATTATTAGGAAGTTTGAAAAATGAATTGTATTTAAAGTTTCGGCATATGAAGACTAAAATCGTACAGATACATATGAAAATCCGCTAAGCGAGCATTGATTTAATTTTTTTCTCGCTGGTTCTTTGTAGGTGATACATTTTGTTGTAGAGTTCTAGTGATATATAAATTTGGAAATTGTTGTGCGGAGAAATCCAAAGAAAATCGAAGTGCGATGTCAAGTTAATGGTTTCGGTAATCATCTGTGATAGAAAGTAATCTCAAGGCAGGAAAATGTGATAACTTTGCAGATGAAAAATTTTAACACATAATTATCACTATCTAATCACTGTGATAATGGTTTCATGTTGGAAACATCAAGGAATCTGAATGTTCGAAAGTGTCTTTCTTTTTGCGGAGATTCAGTGTATAGATCGTTTTCAAGGAACATAATGAAAGAGTTTTATAACCCCTCAAAAAGAACGGGTTGTCGAAAAAAAAATTGCAGAAAACTTGAAAAGAGTCGTAATTGATATTTAAGTATTGCCCGAGAGTTTTTTACTTCCCGAATAAAATTCTATTTTCCCAGACAAAGGACTAGCTCTTGAAACTTAGTTTTGGCTATCTTTACGGTGGCAAATTATCTTGGCTATCTACCCAAATTAAAGATCCAAAACTTTCCGTTTCACCTCGGCGCCGACCTAAAATCACGATTATTTCTTTTGAAACTAACCCTTTCATACTTAACGGAACTTCATTATTCCCTATATTGGTCTTGTTTTTCGTTTTCATTTTAAAGTTAAGACACCATACTTTGATTTTAAAGCAACGTACGTGACAAATGTAGTATTGCTTATTTTCAAACTTAAAAAGGGGTTTCATCACTAAGGTTTCATCAGTCAGTTCTGTTTATTGAGGTTATGTAAACGTTGAGCCGAATATATTGTCGCCTGAACAACAGCATCACAGAATAATAATGATAATGATTATGATAACAAGTTATGAGTATAAATAAGTTTTCAGTGGTCATAAAATTCACTGTAAAGAAGGCTAATCAATTGCAGCTCTGAAAATTTTTAAAGGAAATCCATCGACGAATTTTGATTTTATCGCTGTTTTCCTGAAAGTAGCCTTACAATTGCAAAAAGTGCTCAGCATTGTGTTTTACACTGGTGCATATTCTTTCCTGTCTTCGAAATCGCGCAAGTCTACCTGCCTCAGGCACGGATCCATACCGGTTTCCACGGTTTTACGGAAATCGGTCAGATTTTTCATAATAAATGTATTCAGTTTTTAGTAAAAAACTTTAAACTTTCCAGGCTCAAATCTGGAAAATGGTTTGGACAGTCAGTAAATATCCTGTCTGAATGAGTCAGCAACCCAGGAAAGTGGAATTTGGAGAGTTAAAATCCAAAAACTAAACCTGGGGTAGCATGGCCCCAGACCTCCCTAGAGGTAGGAAATCGGTCAGTATTTATTCTAGATCGGCGCCTTTGCCTCTGGCGGTTGGAGAATGTACACGGGAAATTAGTTAAAAGAATGAGGGGGAAAAACTTTCCAGGAATTAGTAAATTTGCTTGGATAGTCCAGTATTCAGTTTACCCGCAAATTATAGCCTTCATGTAGAAATTGCACGATATCTCAAAATTCCCTCTCTCCTCCGCAGAGGCCTCTTTGCGTTGTGGGGGGGAGGCTGGGGAGAAAGACAAAGAGAGCGCGCGGGGTTTCCCTCTTCCCATCGTCCCCCGCGCGCTTTCTATTTTTTCGATTATTTTATTTTGATGGGATACCCAGCGGGAGCCTCCGCGGCGGAGAGAGCAAAATTCCTGTCATAGATTTTTGTGAAACTTTGCACACCTTGAGGCAAGCATCAAAAGTTTACGTAGCCTACTGCAGTTCGATTAAAAGCTAAAACCATGGTGAAATCATTGCCACGTGATATTCCTTCAGATCGCCAAAAAAATCATACCATAATAAAGGTCAGTCTATGTGTAATCCATGTGTTATAACTGTTTTACGATGAAGACGAAGCTGTTTACGTATAAGAGGTCCAAAGGTGAAACGTATGCTTACAAAAATGCTGGGTCGAGCCACCTTCAACTTTATTTCCAGTCATGAATTGGGACATAATAGAATTAAAATTTTGTAAATAATTATAATCAAGATCTCAAAACTTCATGGTAATGACTTTCAAAATAATTAACCGCAGAACGCATTTACATTTGTGAATGATGGGAAGCTGTCATGCAGCGGTCATCCTGTTATGTTATAGAGTGTTTTCACATAACGTCACGGTGGCCATATTGCATGTTGTCCCAAAACAATGAAACAGCGGCCATGTTGGTGTCCCAAACCAGTCCCCTGGGAGTTGAACTCTTTTCTTATGCAAACGCTTTCTTTTGTTCCGATGGATTTGCATATATGCTGGCCACGTGAGTGAAAACACTCTATATTGGCATTATTTGTTTCAGAATTATTAGTCCAAAAGAGTGAAGTGCCTGTAAACTAGCTGGATAAGCTAAGTGCACTTTCCACTATAAACAAACCTCCCTCGCATATTCACTCCTCCTGTTCTCTCGTTGTCATATCTTGTTCTCAAGCTTTGAAGCGAAACAAACACTGTTTTGTCTTGAAGCTAAATAAGCCCAATAGAAAACGGGGCGGGGTGACCTAACCGGCGTGACTGTTCCATTCGTCTTTGTGTCATGTAGCCTCATGTCACGGTAATGCGTTCAACATAACTGTAATCGCAATTTTGTACTTTTTGGGCAGGCTATGGTAAAATGGCTCCATCGACGGTATGGGGAAGGATATTTTGTATATTTTACGCGATATTTGGAATTCCCATCACTGGTCTAATGCTGAAATCGATTGGCGAACGAATAACGGAGACATTGGCAAGCTTCTGGAAATTTGTGGACACAAAAATATGCAAACGAGAACATCCTCGTAGAATATACCTCAAGACTGTGGCGTGTATTTTCATTATGGTCGCTGGCATGATCCTTCTCCTAGCGGGTATTGGTAAAAGCTATGAAGGTTGGACATTCTTTGAAGGGGTCTATTTTGCATTTATAACCCTCAGTACGATTGGCTTTGGAGATTATGTGCCCCAACACCCATCAAAACACGAGAAAGATCACCCGGGTTACGTCATTGCTTTCACAATTCTCACATTTGTCTACTTCACCTTTGGCCTTGCTATGGTGTCCAGTGCCCTTCTAGCCATCAGTCGGTTGTTTGAAGACGAGCCACCCTGGGGCTTTATTTCTTTGGTGGGTGGAGATGACGGCGAAGACGACGAAGAGGAAAAACTTCTATCCGAGAAGCGAAAAGCGCAAGAGAAAGCCAAGCTGGCAGACGGCAGTGGTCCTTAATGACTATCTAAATTAGAAGCCTTATAATCTTAATTTATGCGGATCTATTACGGTATATCTGTTTGTAATAATTATGTCGTCGGGGATAGATAGATTGAATACGTTTTGGGATTTCGTCATCAGTGGTTTAGTGACGTCACATTGAGTCCATGGAAGGATCGTACACATTATCGACGACTGCGAAATTCATCGTCCTCAGTTGACCCCCAAGAGATTTTAACGATTGAGAAACATTTTTGTTACGGGGAAAAATGGCAGACAGAAAAATGGTAGTGAGTACCCTGTGAATAAACGACCTTGAACTTGTTTGGAAGTACGATTTGTATGCTTTGCCACTTTGTGGCAAGAACTGTGTAGAATGGGAACCATTTGACAAGCTGATTATTGCATGCTGCTGGCCAGAAGACCACGCATCTTGTCGCAGGTAGACGGACCCCTTATAAAACGGGTAAGGAGCTGCTGATCCTGTCAAACATGGATTCAAAACGTAGGTAGTTAAAATACGATTAATTAATTTGTTGTTTGCTTTTTAAAGTTAGAGAGAAATGTAACACAATGTATCGTTTAATTGTTATAATTACAATAACAGTTGTAATTGCAATTGATTACAATTACAAATTGTAATTATAATTACTATGTACTATTACTGAACACAATATTATCATATCAACTTTGTTTTATAATTAGCCTTTTGAGTGGCCATCTCTTCATACTAGATTTTATTTTACTATTACAACACAGATTTTGGCAGCTCTCAGTTGCTGTTGAATTGAAAGCGGAAAAAGTTTATCAAATCGGATACAGAGGGCTTTCAGATCGTTTGAGAGTGTAGAAACTGTTGAACTTTTGTCGAACTTAACTTAGGTTCGACACACTGTACGCCGTCTGAATCAGATGTCGCGCCAGTGTCGCTCCAAAGTCGAACTTATTCAGTTAGGTTCGGCACATGAAAAGTACGGCGTCTGAACCAGGCCTGAACCAGGCCTAAGTCCCGAAATTTTTTCGGGTTAATTTGCACCTCTGCGACGATCACATCGTCATTTAAACTTAAAATTACTTACTTCATCGAAACGGCCAATCTGGCCCCAGTTGTTCAAAAGTGGGATAGCACTATTCACTTGATAAATCTCTATCCAGAGGATAATGCAATTGGTTTCTATAATACTCAACCACTGGATAATGATTTATCAGGTGGATAGCGCTATCCAGCTTCTGAACTACTGGGGCCTGTTCTTTTGGTGGCCATTTTGAATTTTGCTGTGAGCATGTGCGAGGTCTGGAACCCGGAAATCTTCGGAGATTGTCTCTTATGATATGGAGGGACTTTTCACTTTATTATGGAGCATTTCCAGACCTGCACCGTTCTAAAGCTCTTATTTCATTGGTCCCCTTTAATCTGCCCTTCCATTGTTTTCAGGGATAGGGGTATTGTTATGTCACAATCTCTATTGTTTTCCCAGCCAATCACAAACAATCTTTCAAATGGGTGCAGATTGCCCGTCCCATTCACGTGTCCAGCAGCTGTGCAAATTTATTGGAACAAAAGAAAGTTTTATCAAAAACGTTCAACTCCCACAGGAATAGTTTTGTACACCAACATGGCGGCCGTTCATTGATTTGGACACCAATATTGCGAACGCGACGTCCTGTGAAAACGCTCTGTAGTCGGATTGGACCTTCTGACAGTTTTCCGCGGAATTACCTACTGTCCCAGGCCCGAAAGAATTCTAGTTCCAGACTTCCCACCAGCCGTGCTCAAAATTCAAGACGGCCACTAAAGAAAACACAATTCACTATTTTCACTGAGACCATAATGCACCTCGTCCCCCCCCATCAAATTTGCGTAACCATTGTCTTCAATTTCTGTTTGGACGGCTGTAATACCCAGGAGAAATTGGAAACAATGGTTACGTAAAATTTTGGGGGGTTGAACGAGGTGCATTTAGTTTCTGTGAAAATAGTGAATGCCCGCATTAGTAAAGTAATGTGCATTTACTTATTTTCATCTAATGAAATGTGAAGGCCTTCTGTGATTTGAAGCGGGATATCGGCTGATACCCTACTTGGTAACACTTTATAGGTTAGTTGGTTCCTGAAAGTTTACGACAAAATGATTCAGTATGTTGTAATGGGCTCTTTGCAGAATACGGCAAGCAACGCGCAGAGGGGCAACAAAAACAAAGAAATTACATCATTCAAGAAGCTAAATATCCTTTCTTTTCAAGGTCCCATTGCGATGTTTGCCATCCAGCAAGGTGAACCATTTGACCGTTGTCTGCAAAGAGCCCATTTGGGTGGATGCCTATGAGTATTTAGCATAAGTAAAATTTGAATACCATAATACACGGACTAGTTCCCAGTCCCCTATGTTATGAAATAGGGCAATGTGTGACATGCCATGGTCCTCGTTTCGCAAAATAAGTTTTTGCCAGTCAAAGCACTTTCGTTGGAACCTTTTGTTAGTGATGATTTAAGGTATTAGCCTACGCGAGGTTCGATTGAACATGTAACAATAATTAGATGTGTTACGTTTCTCTCTTCACTACTGACTGACGAAGGCCCATGTATAAATCATAGTAAGTAGAGGAGACTGTTTATGAAGTCCACCAAAAATAAGAGATAAAAAGAAAATAGTGCTGCTCTTTATATTGGGAGCTATCTGACCGTGCACAATTTTGTATTATTTTTTGGACAAATATTGTGACTGAAGAAATGAATGGAACTTTTCCATCGGTCAGTTTTTCAAAAAGATAGAAAAGCTATGGCTGGTGTATAATGTATTAAAATTTTGCTCTGCTGACCGTAGAACCTCCAGTAGCTGCTCAGTGGTTGGAGCATCCAATTTGCAACTCGGAGGGTCGTGAGTTGGAATCTGACTACTGGAGCTTCAATCTTTTTTTCTGAGCTTTCTGATGCTTGATTTCCCTCTCAAAATTGAATGTTGTGCACGGTTAAGTCCAGAAAAGCTAACGAAAACGTAAAACAAAGAAGTATGACGGACTTCATAGCCATTGCACCCTATTAACTAAACATAGACTAATGGCGTCTGGTGGATTTCAACATTATGCTAACATAACGGCAAGAACAAGGTAAAGTAATTTATTTTGGCTTTTTCTCATGTAGTTAAGATGTCACCGTTTTCTCATTGACGTCATTTTCGTGTGTTTGCGTTGCTAGAGAAAGCGAGGCTAAAAAAAATAAATAGATGATATCTATGGATATAGAGATAACGGAAAATACTAACGAGCCAAATACCGTGATTGATCGAGCAATATATTTATTTTTGTAACAATTATTTAAACATATTGATGTCTGTCTAAATCTGTTAGCCAAATTTAACATTGCGTTTAATGCTTTGATATTTTACTTCTCTCTCAAGAATCTTTAGATGATATATATCTGTTAAATGGTTATATTAGTAATTTTACTTTTCTTCCACACAAGGCAACTTTGTGTGACTCTTTATGGGCTCATTTCTGGACCAAAGATAGGCCCAGTCTTTCTTAATGAACAGTTATTTCTGAAATACTTTGATTTACATTAATTTGCTTTGTTTAATGATAGAAAAATTCCGGCAGCCACTCTCTTGACCAATAAGGAGTAATCTTTGTTATTAAGTAACAAGAATTTTCGGTTTAATTGGAATTAGTACTTAGGGGTAAAGTCAAAATTCTGGTTGCTAAAGTGTCTCATTCTAAAACCTGGGCCGAGTTGCAAAAAGCGACTTGATTAAGAGGGTTTGCAACCGTTCCCAGTATTTAGAAGGGTTTTTTACGCTCGTTTATGTACCCTCGGCCAAGTTATTCGTGATAACGTGCAAAAAATTCATGCGGCACAAAGAGAATAAATGCTGCGTAGTGCAACTTGTCCCTGATCCTTGAGAAATTCAGATGCCACTCTTAAATCGTGCAAATTTTCAGACCACAACGGTCTTCACCATAGCTATTACATATAGAAGAGAATACTCCATGATTTTATATTGAGAGAGACCAGGCCATAGGATAAATATCTGATTCGCCCAAGCTACAGTGTTTTCTTGAATGAACTCCTGCGGACGGCCGGGTGGCACTGAGTTGTAGAAAGAAGCTCAGAAATGTGTGATCAGAACGACGGTATTGGTTACCATCTCGGCCCCAACGCCCGAAAACATCATTTTTTTAATGGGAAATGACCCAGAGGTTTATAGATTTGAGAAAGCACACTAGATCGAAATTTCAGTGACAAACATTGTTGATAGAAAATAATGTTTCTCCTTACTTAGTAGGGAAGTGAGTTCCAATTATTCAAGGTAGATAACTTAAAATATCGGACGTAGTGATTGTGACTCTGGAAGCCACAGTAAAGCCTCGGGAAAGGCTAAATAACGTTTGTCCTTCATTGTAAACTTTAGATAGGGAATGGGGAAATTTTACCCTGCGATATCGATTAGTTCTCAGAGTATAAAAATGTATTTAAACATTATATCTATTCGAGGTGTTCTGGTTGCAATGTCAGACTTGGATTGAGTGAATGTTTAAGTAAATATTACCACAATTTTTAGGGAGTTTTAATTGCACTTATACGTACTTTTACTAGGTCGATGGAAAGTAAGCGCCAAGCTAGTTTAACATGAGAAAGAAACATTAAATTTCAAGTCCAAAAGTGTTCCGAGCTAAAACTAGCCAGAAGATTGTATCAATTTTGTGAGAGTAATTTTCAACTGACAATTAAAAATTCTGAAAACAGGAGCGTAGTGTTAGTTTCGTTTCTGTGTTGACATTACAACCATTACACATGAAATAACTGATAAAAAAAATTGTGAAACCTCAAACGTTTTTCAAACGACAACTTTTTTGCTTAACTTATTTATTTAAATTCTGTTCTTCGTCTTAAGATGGAATTGTTTCGTCATTAACTTATGCCGTCAGAGATGGTGGTCCCATGACTGCTGCATAAAATAGGTTAGTCAGTAGGCCAGTTCCAAGATGACTCGAGCCTCTTTTTCTAAACGAGGGCGAAGTCTTTAAAATGAAAATATTTTTTTTTGTTTCCGCTAAAATAAAACCTATTTTCACGTGAAGAGTTTTGCAATTGGCCTCGTTTTGGAACTTGTAAACGGACTATTCTATTGGACCAGCTGCCTGATCATGTGATTTTACTTTAAACGACCAGAGTCCTTTGGGATTATAATTTCCTCCGCAAATGACAACGATTGCCTCAGAAACCTCTCGGCTTGCAAAACATAATGATTTAATTTAATAGGAAAAACGGATTCTGGTAGTTATTGTAAGTGAAAAGGCCATCATACTTAGAGGTAAGCATTTTTTCTGTTAAAAATCAAAATGTCGTTCAGTTGTCTTCTTGAAGCCTCTTTTGTATTTTTAATTTGACAAATCATTTTTTTTTGCTTTTTACCATTATATTTTTATTACGTTTGGTCATGATTGTCGTTAGATAGAGGTAAAATGTAAAAAGAATATCAATGATAACAGACTCAAAGCCAATATTTTAACACTTGGTGGTTTAACTTTATTTTCAAACATAAATACAGTAATGTGGAAAGAAAAAACTGGAGACGATGTGAATGTTGAAAGCGTTGAATAAAAGAACGAGTAAAGAACATGGTTTACTTTCACTGTCTTCCAAGACTGTTTAAAGGCACCCAACGACTGTTTTTCTTTTGGAAACTCACTGTTCGAAGGAGCAAATATTGCCTAGAAAATTCTAAAGCTAGGGCTCGAGAAAGGCTACAAATTTCTGGGTAACTGTTCTCCTCGACAAAGATTTCGGGGCTTTTCTGCTGACTTACCCATCATTTTTCGGACCGGTTGTGTTTCATATTTTATTACCAAGATATTGCGATTACGGTCCCCTAAACATTTTGGTGTAAAGACAAAACGTCCCCCAGAATCACTCTTATGAACGTACGGCTTCTCCCTCCTGTTGAACTTTCGAACGGATCCATCAGGGTAGCCAACATCTACATTTCTACATCTACATTTATTAAGTTGATAAAATCTTGTAAGACATCACATCAACTGTAACAACAATTTCGGATGACAGTTTCGGATGAGACGAAAAATCCAGTACGTAAAACTTTCGAGAGGACTAAAGTTCCCCTGAGACATCCGAACATATAAATAGTAAAAAAGTAAAAAAAATGTAGTTTATTTCGAGACACCCCTCCCCCCACCAACCGCCTATTTACAGGGTCTGGATCCATGGAAGGCTGAAACACTACAGGGGGGATCTTTGTGGATGAATAATACAACTGGTATGAAAAAAAAATGTGGTTTATTGCTATTGAAGTAAAAAAATAGTAAAAAAATCCTGGATAAAAGAACTTAACGAAAAGCCTATTAAAAAAAAGTGGGATAAAATACAATTAAAAGCTGGTAAAGCTGGTATCCTGGCTACAAATTCGTTCAACTCTTGCCCTTAAAGTCAGTTTTAAGTAACATGAAAGTTGTCCACGATTTTAGAAATGCAACCCAAGCAAAAACAGCCAGCACGCCACGAACATAGGAGGGAATGATCGGAGCCGCGTAACACCTGCCTCGGTGGGTGCTTGCCAGTCTTTTGGTGGGAGAACATTTTCCTTGAATGATATCTCTCCGACAAAGTTACCAGGGGGAGTATACCGAATCACTATGACAAACCGGCCATCTTGCCTGGTGGCAGAAGCCGCGCCTATTTGCTTCGTCGTTTTCCACACAATCTAAGAAAAAGTATGATATTAAAATAAGATATATATATCGTCGTCTTGTGTGAACATTTGAAAAAATAGTTTTATTTTTCTTGTTTTGTGTTAACCATCACTTTTTACTAACCACTCCTTTTTTTCACTAATTATTTGATATCAAAGCCTTTTGTCTTTGTCTCAATAAAATGCGGGAGAAGCTCAATAAGATAACTTCACGTGCTTTCTAAGACGGTTTAACCAGTTTGACGGGTTTTAGGTCGTTAAATGTCTTGGTTTTTGATTGTTTGACTAAAAATTAATAAAGGTATTTATTAGTCGACTCATGTTGTCGAAGGAATAAGCGCTAAATCGCCTGTGGCTCCAAATCTCTCAGCCGTAAAGTCATTTATTATTATGAAACTTCTATTTTTGCCGCTTTAATCAAGCAGGCAACAATTCGTTCCAGTTCAGGTTCACTGATTTCTTGGCAAGCACATCTTGGATATTTATACTGGCGCAGGCAAACTTCCTTTTCCTAGTACTAAACACAAACAAAATTTAATTATTTTGGTGTTTGATCATCCACCACCACCACCACCACCACCAGCACCACTACATCTCTATTTTTCCCTCCTCCACCACCATATTTCTTTTTCTATACAACACCACCACCAGCACCACTACATTTCTATTTTTCCCTCCTCCACCACAATTCTTTTCTTCGCTACACCACCACGACCAAATTTTTACTAACTGTTTTCCCTCCGCTACCACCCCGACCCCATGTTTTTTTTTCATCCACCAGCACCACCGGTCCATTTCTTTTCACTCTGACACCATGTCGATAAACAAAACAATCCGTGAAATTTTATTGTTCCCCTGTCTTCTCTTGTCAAAAATGGGATGAAGCCGGTCCAATTTCCTGCCATGACTTTATTTGATTTGAAACTCAAAAGAAAATTTGGGGAGGCCATGTGGATAAACTATCATAAACAAAACAAGCTATTTATATTTCCAGGCTGATTCAAAGATATTGGCAGGGCGGGCAGTTGGTTCTAAAAGCTGTTTGGGCTGTTGGGATGTTTCTTAGCCATTTTCTAGCTAGCTTTTAACAAACAGTAAATAAGATAACTCCTTTCATATGTTAGTCGCATGTATTATTTGGTAAAATCATTTACGTGAACAACAGTTATGCACACTCCTTTGATCAACATTGGGCTACATTTTTTCCGAACCACCTGTTGTAAGCTTGGACTTGATCCTCACTTCAAATGTTTGAGTTTTGCGCTGCCACAGTTGACGCAAAAGGCTATTTTGCGTCATTTTCGAGACCACATTAGAAGTTTTTGCGCTTTGTCGAAAACAATTAAAATTAAGGAATACTATCTTTTTTTTCGAAAATGATTTCCGTCAGTCTTAACTCACCTGTGTAAAATGTCCTGTTTCCAACGAAAATCCAGGTTTGTTGAAATCATAATCTTTAATCTCATTGTAGAAAGCTTGTGTGGCTGCAGCACATGGCTCATTGGGAACAACTGTTGACATGTAAAGGTTTTCTCCTTCATTAGGTATGTTAGTCGCATGCTCAAATAGGTTGTTGTCTGCTAAGTAACTGGCCCAGACCGCCGCATTCCTGGCAAGGGTTTCATTCCAAACCACTGTTTCAACCTGTATATGTCGCGGAAACAAAAGTAACAATCTCCATAATTTTTGTTTTATTTGAAACTATTCAACCAACTTTATGAAAGGTACATCGGACTGATCCATATCTGACTTTGTCGGTGGTAATGGTAGCAATTTTGGGAGAAAACAGAGCGTTTGTTTTTTACATTCTTTTGTGTTTCGAGTTTAGGCGTCCGACCCGTAGTCTGGTATGATCGCCAATATTCTCACCTAATGGTTCTCGGTACACAAACGACGGGGGCAGGCGTTTCAGAAAAGCGTCAAATGCAGTAAAGGTTTAGCGAGAGCGCACGTCTCCTCGCGTCGCTTATCCCCGTCGAAGCGCATCTAAATTTAGGATTTCTTCTTCTGATGATTTGTTTCGAGTTACCCAACTCTCCCGCGGCCAAATGGAAGAGAGATCCTCAGCTTTTACAGTGAGACAGAGTGCGATCTGGGTACAAAATTAGTTTCTGCTGGGCAAATTAGAACCGGCGAATTACCGTTGACAGGAGGAACGGTGTAGGTCAACAAAAGCCGGATAATGATATGGAACCCAGGATGTAATCATTATCGTCTCGAATACAGACAAAATCAATCTTAAGTCTGTAGAAGTCGTTTGACCTTAAACAAGCTCGAGTTAGAAAACGATTTCGATTTATACAATAATCAAATTAAATGATGATACCTTTTAGTATCTTTTGTTATCAGGCAATAAAATTTGCTTTTCATTCTCCATGATAATTGGCAAAACCACTTTAACTTGCTCCGGGTAATATGCATTTTTCGTAGAGTAAGTCTTTACGACTTTTACTTACCTGATGTTGCTGACGGTAGTCGTTGTGCCATTTCAAGCACTGATCTTTAAACGAGAGAGTGGTTTCTGAAAAAGAAAATATCAAGAAAAAATTGCTATTAAAGAGGCAATATCATGGGGATTACAGTCGACCCTTTGCTAACCGCCATGAGATTTTGTTCCACCTACTACTGACCAATACACTTGCTGTTTGTGTCACTTTATTGTCTCAAACGAAAAAAAATACCTTTTGAGAAAGCTCTAACAGTTATTTCCCCCCGAAATCTAGAAAATTCATTTTTGCTTGGATCCATTGACACCTCGGTTTTATTAATTTAGCACATGAACTCGAGTATAGTGGCCTGACATGCCAGAGCACGATCTAATAGTAGTGGTCGTACGTTTTACGGCTGCATCGGCAATAACTGTCCTTGTTTAATATTCATAAGATTGTCGGCTGCAAAATCAGAAATTTGGCGGTTAGTCTTCCATTTGGCTTTCGAGTGTAGTGTATTATCAAGCAACAGCAAGTTTTTTTGCAGTTGACTGGACATTCTGTTTCAATGTATAATTACAATTAAAAACAAGCCTTGTCGTTTCTGTCTAAAACCATCGATCAGATTAAGTGTTTTGCTCAGGCTGAGAGACTTACGCACTACTAAAATATACATGACGCTTTATTGTAGAAGAAATCAAACCTAACATGATTCCCTTTTTTAATAACATCACGTTGAGACAGTTTCTTTCCTAATCAAGCCTTCAAGATGAATTCGTCACCAGATTAAAGTGACTTTTATTAGGAACCTCTCAACACTTGAAGTGTGAAAAACGAGAGGAAAATGAGAGAACTTTGTGGTTCTAATATAAGCACCAAATAAACATTTTTCACTAACCTGCCACTGCGTTTTGATAGAAAGATACAAATGTGATGCAGAAATGTAGAGCGATCTGATACAGCTGCATTTGTGGATAGTTAAAGGCGTTTTAGACGACCCTAACTCTTTGAAAGAAAATTATAATTTTTCAACACTTTGAAACCGTGTTTCCAAAACAATTAAGTGATGAATGACTAACAAAGGAGCTGCGTAATGTGTTACACATGTATGGTAATGTATGGCAATATGTTTTGACAGTGGATCGATGTTTTTTTCCCGCCCATGATATTTAGTCATGCCGTGAATAACATTCTCCAAACTGACCTTTGTTTTTATCACCAACTAAGGAAAGTATGTTGGAAAACCGCATTTGTCCAAGAAGTAGAAAAGTCTTGAAATTGCAGACAATAGTTCAGGCAAAAACGAGGTCGTTCATTGTAAAAATATCACATTGTACAACGACTTCAGAGTTAAGAGCAAACCAAAAAAATGAAATTTTTATCAGTTACCTGCTGGTACCTGATGAATATTTAAACGTTCTTTGGTCTAAAGGACTTATTATGTGTAAAACCCAAGAGACGGGAATTTGTTAATTCGTGAAGCATTGTTCGATCCCACGCCTATGAGTTCATTTTTCTTTCCTTCATGATTACTTAAAAGTAAATATGTTTCAAAATGTTACCACTCCCTATCAGACGAGTTGTGAAATCAGTTTACAAGTGGATTAGTTTCAATCAAAACTTTGTGAATTGAAATAATTTCAATTTTTGCTGTGTGTAAGCTGACTTTGAGTTGTGGCTGAAATTTAATTATGTTTGTTCTGCTTTTTCAAAAAGAGTCGAACTATTTTCTGACGCCAGCAACATTTTTAGGACATGCATGAAATAGGATTTTTTTTACAACAACAACCACAAGTCAGAAAAACAACAACAAAAAAATGTTTGTTGTTCCACTGGAGCGAACTGGGATATTTTAGAAACCCAGGCACGATCGCAGTCCTCATGTATTTGTCATCTTTTAAAGAGCCTATGTCACGAGGATATTCCTTTTTTTAGTACAATTACCGATCCACAAAATTCTCCAGAAGAGACACGAAGACGATATCAAACGTATTTCATCGGGGAGAACTGACCACAATTTTTTCTGGTGCTTTTTACCGGCATGGCATTAAAACTTGAAAAAGTTCACCCAATTGTTTCAAGTTTCTATCCATGTCGGCCATCCTTGCCATCCGTACAGTCTTAAATATCAAAACTGGACCGTTATTCTTGGAATTCAGTTAATACTAAGACACGTTTTAGCCATGTAGATAGATAGTAAATAGCGCGAATATAACTCCTTTAAAAAGTTATAAAACCCAGGGGATTAAGTAATGAGGTTTGCGGGAGATGCTAGGAAGGACAAGGAGCTACTAGAGACAAGAAGGGACAATTCCCGCTTTTTCTTAATCCGATGCATTCTCGCCAGTCTCAACTGATTGAAAAAGCGAAGCAGTAGAAATATATGGGGAGAAAAATTTACTTCGAATATACTTCGAATAGCCGTAAAAGAGAAAAGACTGGAGGCAGTGCCCGCTTCATTATAGTTAAGATTTTGTACCACTATCTTCCGCACCCTACAGTTGATCATGAAATAGTTATTTTTCCAGAAATGAGAAGGAGCAACGATCGTTCTTTTGCCTTTTAGGCAAGGTTAATTTGTTGAATGAAATTTACTCCATGCACAGCAAAAGATATAACGGACAGTTTCTTAAAAGAAAACAAACAATCATGACGACTGGCTGGTGGCGCGTTTGAAATATAAATGGAAAGAACATGAAACTAATGAGCCTGATTCTCTTTCCTTTTTCTTCCTTTTCATGTTATAATCATCACAAACCTGATCAATCAGTAACCCAGTAACATTTAATGACAGTTAACTGAGGAGAAAATCGTGTTTATTTGTACTTAATATCAACGTTTTTAAAGCGTGAAGTAGCTTCCGTCCTCAGAATTGCCACAGTCCTGGCTTAAAGGGACAAAAACTTGATTGGTCACATAGCCCACAGCTTTTAACAGTCAGATCGCGAAGAAAACCAGAATGCAAAAGCGTGCAGAAAGGACTGAATCCAACTCCCGGTGCTCAATTTGCCTCTCTGCTATTGGTCAATTAAGTTTTTACAGAAACTCATAAGAGTTTCTGGTTTTTAACATTGCGCATGCCATCTTCCTTTCGTCGCGTTGACTTTGCTAAACGGTTGTGACTAGAATGGATACCTCAAAATCAGGTTGGACACATTATGTTTATTACACAACGCTATACTCTCGGCAGTTAGCCCTTGATGGTGTAGTGGATACGGATATGTATTATACATCAAATAACGCGGGTTCAAGTCCTTCATACTACCTACTTTCTTCTCCTATTTACTACTTTAAGTTATAAGACCCCTATCATGTATTTTGAGTGAAGATGACAATCTGACTTTGGGGTATCCATTCTAGTCCCAACCTTTGGTATAGCCTGCAGTGAAGGCGTATTTTGGGTGGGCGAAGCTTGTTAATCGGATCGCTACGATGAAGCCACCGTCTTTGATTTTATAGCAGAGGAAGATTGGGGAGAGTAGAAATAGTAACCCTTAGAGTAGGTAAAAAAACCATTCGCGTGCGCCCGATGAAAACGCCTGCACTATAGGCTACCTTTACTAAACTGGACTGCTAATGTTTTACACCATAACAACCTGATTTCCATAGCAACACAAGTAAGTACTGTTTTGACAAATCTGGTTTTAACTGTCGGCTCAAAAAGCTCGAAAAGCAGTTCACCCGCAACCTCGTTCACCTGTACTTTTCCTTTGCTGCAGCCCGCGTGATAGCACAAATTACTTTTGAGTATAAGTGTCTATTAGCTTCTCTTATTTAAGCATATTTATTACTAAGGAGGTTCTTTACTATGCAGACAGATTGTATAAACAAAGTTCCACTAGATTGAGCAGCAATGCATTGCTTTTAATGAGCAGACTTAATGGCCTTAATCCCTTTGCCCATTATCTCATCATTCCGATAGCCGGCACGATCCGAAAACTGAAAATTCAGACTGTCAAGTCGTTTATTGATTTTGTACATACAGACACCCGCAAATCATCTCTTGCCTTAGATAATTGCTCTTTTTATTTTCTAGTGTTTGTCTTCTTAGTGTGATCAAAATCAAAAAGGGAATAAGGTTATTGCAATCTTTGAAATAGTTGAAAGACCAAAAGTATTGATTACTATTGAAAAAAGGTTTTAAATGCTTCTTTGTTGAGGGAGTTAAGTCTTGTAGGATCTTAATACCGACGTCAAAGTTAGTTTTCTCAGTCATGCTTTTTCTTATGAAAAGAAAAATTTTCCAATGTTAGTTTATAGGAAAACTGAGTTGTCTTCATTTAGTACCTCAACTCTGGCAATTGTCTTTTTAATCTTGCTTTTGATAACTTAATTTTTAGACCGTTTCAAGTTGGATAGGAGGTTATTGTGTCTTAGCAACTAATGTTAATATTAAGAGCAGAAATTAATAAATGCAGTCATCTTAGTAAATTAACAACTTTTTTTGTATACCTGTACGTGCAGGTAGGTGAATCTAAGTGAGTTTATTACCCTTGAGCCTTCCTTTTGTGAGAGTGATGGAGCGCAAACGATGTAACGAAAATGGGTAAACCAAATGCTTCGCCGAATCACATAAAAATGTGGAGTGAGTTGCAATTGGACGCATGGCTGACAGAGAAGACATAACAAATTTTGGGCGAAAAATTATAAATTTGCCAATGATCACATGCTCCTATTACTGATTTAAACTTCGAAGTTTAAGAATCTGACAAGGTCTTCCCTAGTCTGAGATTGCTCGATATCTTACCTTACTTTCTTAGATCTTAAAGTAAACAGTAAATATTACTCTCTTAGAAGTGGGGTGTCGATCGTTGCTGCTAGTATCAAGATTGTTTACATAACGTTTGATATGTGAAACAGTTGTTAGGGACCCAGAAGGTATGAATTGGCCAAATTGAAAAATAAAAAATACCTTGACGTGAACCTGCGTACTTCTTAAAGACATAGGAAAATGGAAGGCTATAGGTAAGACAGTACCTGCGCTGGCGTGCTGTTGACATGAAAAAAAAATGATCCACAGCGCCAACTTTGAAAACATTTGGCAGTTATACGACGACGACTTTATGAATCTCTCTCGAAGACTTGAAGCACCTTTGAGCGGTACGGAAATGCAACATAAGGACTATAAAGACACTGCTTGCACGATTTATAAGGCTCTGCTGAGGTTTAAATCTCTCAGAGATCATGTGACCATTCATTAGTCATTGGGCTTTGCAAAGAACAAATTGTCATGTAAATGCTTCACGAACAAAGTCGATCAACGTGACAACCACAGAGACAATGCAGACGGAAATTTGAAAACACGTACACTAGTTAAGCTATTCCAACCTACCTAAAGCTATGAAACCAAAAAGAAATAAACAAACAAACAAACCAACACACAAAATGTCACCATAAAGTTAATGGATTAATAGCAGTCTTTTATTTTTCTTCAATGTCTGCCAGACGGATGCAAGGGGAAACTGCCCGGAAAGAACGCTCACTTACCCGAATCCCTCGTTTTTCCACAAACACATTCCTTGGAAAAAAAACCCATCAAAATAACAACTACGAGAATTAAGATACTGCTTGCAGTCGTCTTGTACTGAATAGTCGAAAGTAAGTGAACGAAAGTATCCCTGTTTCATATGATCTAAGCCTATGCGAGATAAGCCTTTTCTGAGACATCCCTTACTAGCCCGAGTCTGTTTTGAATCAATGGGAGGTGTTAAAAACTTATTACAATGAGTTTTATTTCCATGAATATTTTCAAAAAATAAATGTTTTGCACTTGGCATTAACTTGACAGTGAGAATTTTTAGAACTTGGAAATTCCCCGCCTAGTTTTTGTTCACAAGTCGAGCTGTGTTCATCCGAAGGCCGTGCGCGAAATGGGCGCGATAAGAGGGCACGCACGCATACCCGGCAAGCGCGACTCACGGGCGCCAGTATAAAACCTATTTTGACTACAAAAACCAATGGGGCCGTTTATTCCTTTACATGAATTTTTCGATTACTATGTCGAAAATTAAATATTTCTGTGCGTTCTTAATAAAATTTCTGATGCTGGATTAATCCGATGAAATTTAGCAGGTTGAACAAATCACCCGGTAAGACAAGACTTGCAATATACATCTCCCTAAATGCATCTAATCAGCACGTATGTTTTTCCTTGTCCCTTAATGAGAAAATTAACTGTTGAATTTCAAATCTCGGCACAACCTGATCATGCTACTCGAATAACATGACTCTGTTCGACGACTGCCGACAACAAAATGCGATATCATCTAGAGAACTGAGACAAGTCGGTCACTGATTGGCTGATTCTTATTTAAGTTTATTAAATTTCTCTTAGGTAGACATATATATATAGGATCACGTCTATGGCGAATGACCTCTTTTACTTGTCGTTTACTGCTCATTACATCTACTCGAAATTATGAAGTTTCATCCCTAAGAACTATTTTGACAGTTTTTATCTGCTCATTTTCTAATTTGAGACACTAAACCTGGTTGCCGTTTTCCATAAACGCGATTCTAAATCTCTCTCTATTCACAGAGACGGAAAAAAAAATTATCGTACGTTTACGTGTGGTTAGACTCCATTTTTCTCGAGCTAGCAATCCCTGCAGAGCTTTGTTTCATAAAAGCTTCAGTTGCTCTGAGTCTTTTTTCTGTGGTACAAGGCCTTTAACCTCAGGTAAAATAAAAATGCGAGATTGCTTCGTACTCAGATTAATTTCCTATGGAAAAACACTATGGAAAATTCAAAAGTTCAAACGTAGGAGCTGTGACAACGACCAAGATGTTTAACAAAGGTTTTCTGGGTCTCACAATAAAACAACCAACCATTTGGTAAGAGGTTAGTTACGCTACCACGTTAAGACGCATTTCAAGTGATGAGTACCGCGCCAAACAAACTTCAAAACACCACCATGCACAAATGAACCAATAGCGGTGCACCACAGACAAGTCGTTTCTCCCAGTGTGTTCGTCTATGGCCTGGGCCGTCGAACTTTTCACGAGACGAACCAAACTCTATAATTTAGATCGACCTAAAGTATTGAGCCAGTCTCTGTAAGATCCTCATATCGAGTTTTGCCCACATAATGGATTTCGCTCATAATTTTTCTGTAGACTTCTTTTAATAAGTATATAGCAAATATGAAACTAGATTGGAGAAATTCGCTTCTGTAAATTTTTTTTAACGAATTTTCTTTCGGCGCCACATGAGGACCTGAGATGCTTGGGAAATATGCAAATTTTGTCAAAATTCAACCGATTGCTCCGGATAAAAGAGAGCGACCCAAAGCTTCCCATTTACTAGTTATTTTAATTGAGCCTTTATCTTTTTGTGGGCAAAACTCGACATGAGGATCTTACAGAGACTGGCTCTTAACTAAGTTAAGATCACCTGTTAGATCAGACGTCGCACTTAGGACGCGTCGAACCAATCAAATGAATCAGACCAAAAAGCAATTTTAGCCGAACGAGGCTAAATATACATTGTCACACAAATTTTTAATTTATTAGTCTAGTTCGTCGCATGTGAAGATCGACGTTTGTCCCGGAGACGATCTTCAGACGTTCTATCCTTCTGAAGCAGACGGATAGAACGTGTTGGACGATCCAAACTCATTCAGACGAACTTAACTGAGCCAGACGTCGAACTTTTCACGAACTTAATTAACTGACACTAAGTTTGATACGTCTCATGAGAACTTCCACGTTTGGCCTCGGCCTATGATTACAGTTGATATACAAGAAGATATAAAGACAAAAAGTCTGCTTAACAGTATAGTTTTTATTACTTTTTCTATTTACAGGAGTGTGAAACAAAAAAACATTCTTCTAACAATTGTTATATGTATTTAGGAAGCAATTCTTGCAGTGGTCTGCTGATTTCTAAAAGAAAAAAAAAAGGATATTAATAAACTGTACAATCTCAAGATAATATATCTGACGGCTTCTTTTCTCTCCGTTTTTTCTCTCTTTTTCTCAGTTCAAAAGGGAGGGAAATTTGTGTCGAAAATTTTCTAATCTGTAAAAAGCAATTCGGCATAAATAAAAAAAAACAAGATATATGTGACAAATTCAAACAAAAGAGCAATAAACTTTCGTGACAATGGAGTACTGAAAGTGCCGTAAATGTAACATCAGGTTATAGACCCGTAATTCGATATTTTAAGTTTATACGCTTAGCTCAGAGATCCAAGAAATATCATTATAACGAGATGAATCCTCACTTGGGACCTTGCCTCGCTACAGTCTCACCAAGGCAAGGATTATTCTGGTTCTTAGCCCTTAATATCAAAACTTCAATTCTCATTTGCTGCCCCTATACATTTCCTTCATAAGTAAAGAGGAGAAGTTGTTTAAGTATCAACTGAACTCATCTTGAGTGATCATCTCTTTAATTCTCATGACCATTCTGTTTTATAATGCAGTGTTATAATAGGGAGAAATTTCAACCTGATCACTGTTAAGGTATGTTACACGAGACGATTTGCAGCGACCATTTTCAGCGCAGCACAGCGTTGCAATGTTGCAACCGTTCGAAACATTGTCGCAACAATGCTCTAATGCTGTGTTGCGCTAAAAATCGGTGTTGCGAACTGTCCCGTGTAACATCACCCTTAGGGCTTAAGGGGCTAAAACAATAGAAAACCCTCCAACGAGTGAATGGGACGGCTATACGCGTATCCACAATTTACAGTTGAGAGTAATTCACACCCCTAGTTAAAGGAATTGAAGTCTTTTTGCATTGAAATTGGGGGGGGGGGGGTATATTTGAAAAAACATGGAGTATCGGCCTGTGTGGACGATTCTGAAGACTTATTGTCTAGTTTGCCGGAGAAAACCGCCGACATTTCGCGACACCACAACTGGTTTTCCCGCGAAATGACGTTTGAGAAACGAGCGCAGATATTTCATACTGATGACGCGTCACTATCCAGATCTGGGTACAACCTCGTCCCCAGGGCTTTTCCCTTAAAAAATGGGTGGGGCGGGAAAAGGCCCTGGCATCGGCTGGTCACGTGTCCCCTCGTACACCCTAAAATCCTGGGTGTAATAAATTAGCGCTATGCGAAAAGCTAAAATTATGCGTAACCTCACAGCGCGCGATCTTGGGCGGCCTTTTATATCTCTTGACGATTAACGAAAAGTTTTACAAGATTTCTTTTTTGTCACAGATACTGGCTATGGTAATTTTTTGCTTTCCTCCGATTTCTATGAAGGGGACAGCGAGCGGTAACATTTGTAAAACTTCCTTTATAGAGCGAGTATAAATGACAAACAAGCTATCGTACATGCATAAAGTTTGTACTGCAAAAGTCCGTTTTCTCGACTCTTTTGATATTTTATTTTATTTCTTGCGAAGTGGACCGCCGTACACAAACTAGTTCTATTCAACTTAACTCTCAGCCATATCATAGCGTCACGCGTTGGTTTAGACTTATCTTGTATGACCTGTCTTTTTAAAAATTCATTGACCTCTGCGAGACTTGACCGAAACCGGAAACCGCGCATGAAAAGTTTCTGACACCCAGGGTATCAAACGACTGGTAACAAAGAAAGACTTGGGTCCATTTAAAATTGACAGAGCTGTAGTTGATTCCAATCGATCGGTCAATCTTCCCTTTGATATAAGGAAAATCCTTTGCACTTATCCTCGGAAGAGAAAAGATATAAGAGATCTTAAAATGTTTCAGATCGGCGACCTGTCATCGTTCCTGGCTGGAGGGCTGACTTGCATCCGGCGCGGAGATTTGTTTGTTTCATGGTCGGGTTGTAGAGAAGACCAGACTCCATCATAAAGTATTTTGATGAACAATTCTATTTCAATTAAGTCCAATTTGTTTAAATTCACTGCAGATCCTAGAGGCAAAGGCCCGCATTTTTGTTTGACATTGGACAAAATCACTTTCTGCTTGATCGTACAGTAATTCCACAGTCACGATGAATTTCAGTCGAAGTACTACTCGATAACAGCTTGAACTCTGAAGCATTTGACATATTTTGTACGTGACAACGTAGAGCCGGTTCTTGTAGCATTTGAATAATACGCAATTAAATGGATCTTAAGCTTTTGAATCGCACAGACGCGAAAATATTGACATACAGTTCGCGATATTATTATTTTCCATTGTTGCTCCGTTCGACTTCTGTCAGCGCAAAACCAGCGGGTTGCATATAAATTAGCTTCTCAGGAATATTTAGGCTGTGCACGTGACCAGCCGATGCCAGGGCCTTTTCCCGCCCCACCCATTTAAGGGAAAAGCCCTGGGGACGAGGTTGGATCTGGGTAGTGCATCTGATTGGTTGAAAATGTGCTTAACCAATGAGAAGCACTACACAGATCTGAGTAGTGAAGCGTCATCAGTATGGAATTTCTGTGCTCGTTCCTCAGACGTCATTTCGCGGGGAAACCAGTGGTGGCGTCGGGAAACGTCGGTTTTGTTCTCAGGCTAATTCTAGCTTGCATTTTTTTCACTCTTCTTACTTTAGCGTGGTGACGGGTCTGACTCCCGCAGAGTTTCTACTAGCCAGTCCTTCGCTTCGAAGTTTAGCTGCTTTTTCACGAGTTTGTTCAAGTTCTCTCCATCTCATCTTTTCAAGATCCGCCTGAAATAAAACCACCGTCATTGTTAAAAGCGCAAAGATAAAACACAGACAACGATTTACAAAGATAAACACTGTAACGATAATGCAGAAAGTTAAAAGATAATTAAGTAAACAGTGAAAAGGAATTCTCACAGCACTTTCACTTTGTCTTATCAGGATCTTGTGGGACGTAAAAGAACCCACGCCACTGGCCGAAACATCACATCATGGGTTGGGTGGGTACAGTAAGCTCATAAATGGACTGACAGCGGCTGCCAGCGGCGACATTGTATGCTGACGTCCGAGCTTACTATTAACATGTTAAGGCAATTGTCTGGCGTACGACAAGTATTAGTATACAAGCGGGCAATTAGCCACCAACCTTTTCTGTTTGCAAAGTTTTTTGTCGCCTGGCAGAGCTTTTTTTGGGCAGCACGGCCAGCTTCTCAGTTTCCTTTTTACGTTCTATAAAAAAAAAAAACAAAACAAAACAACAAAAAAATGACATAGATTAGTAAATTTTATAACATGTTAATAAAAATCTGTTAGTAACCGGAAACATTCACAATTAAAATCTTCTCAAGCCCCATTCACACCAAAGCTTAAACATGTTTAAAAGCTGTTTAGTTAAACTCGGTTAAATTTGTGTTCTTCATAAAAGCTGTTTACTGTACTCTTATTGATGGTAAGTTTAGCGCCATTCTTTAACATGTTAAAGTTCACTTGAATTCTGTGTAACAGCCTGTGTACTAGTTTTCCGTTGGTCTTTTTCATTTTTAAACCCTAGTTTAATTAAACATGTTTAGTTGGTGTGAATGGTGTTAGTTTAAATAATCAATAATAATTTCAACACATAGAGTTAATCAAACAAAGTATAATAAATACATATGCGCCATTGACCAAGCTTGTTCGGTCAGGATGCCTGTATATTGGCCAAGTTTATTTACCGACACGAAGTCGGGGTCAATAAAAACGCAAAAAAGAACAACACCAATATCCAGCCATCTTGACCAAACAAGCCTGGTCAATAAGTGATTTATTGTATGGCCAAAAAGAGAACTTTTTCTAACGGGACCAACGCGGGAAATCCCGAGCGGGCCCGCTTGAGTAGCCAATCAAAACGCAGGAAACGCTTTATCTTGCCCGGTCGCGGATTCAGCCATATAACAAATCTCTTGATCGAAGTTCAGCGGTAACCTACCTGCTTTCTTGGCCTCTAGTTTTTCTTGCAATTCTTGCAGTTTTGGATCTTTCACTTCGGTTTTCACAGGGCGCCTCTTTTGTTCAAGCCTATGAAAGCACAAAGAGTTATGCCCTGTTTTTCTCTTCTTCCACTATCTAAGTCTCCACAATACACTACACTATACCAGCCGGACAGCTTTTCGATTCAACATGAAAAGCTACTCGGTACAGTTTGAACGGCAACGGCGCAGAACTGGAACAAGTTGTTCACACGCATCGAACATAGTACCGTGCGGAGCGGTTGGCCTAGAGGGTCTGGTGCACTTGATCCCAGTTCTCACCTCTGAATATCTCCTTCCGTCTCAGTGGGTACTAGTCCTAGCTCCTACTCATTTACTTCCGCTACGGTCCGAATACCTGTTCACACTAAGACGAAATAGCAGAAACCTATCCGATATGTGACGATCCACTTTCAAGACTGGCTCGGCGCAGCTTCGCTCCGTGAAAGAAATCGCGCCGAAATCACCGTTCTTACGTATGAACAGAAACTCTATCCGGTATGGTTTTATTGTCTGCGTAAGAGCGAGCTATCCGGTATAGGGTAAACAAACATGCGTAGTTTTAGTCGATTGTTATCTTGACGTTGTCGTTGCCGTCGCCGCTTTGGTTACTTAAGCTCGCTAATGTAGCCACTTACTGGACGGCTGCCTCCTTTCCCTTCTGTGCTCGATGTTTAGCGATGGTTTCCAGAGTGTCCATAAGATGCTGATCTTTCTCCTGTTGAGAATTCCAAAGACAAATTAAACAAGGCATAAACACCTGTAACGCGGGGCAGTCTTGCGGTTTTGCATGGGTAGTGTTGTTTTGTAGCTCTATCAATTTTCAATGGCTTCACCCGTTCACAGTTGTTTAGTTCATTTCGTTGATATTGCCGATTACGTTTTCTTATGTACCAAGGAAATTAACGTTAACGAAGAAACTTCTTGTAAATGACAAAATCACAGCCTCTTGTCCAACAAAAGTACTTCCCAAGCATTACATCAAACGTTACGAACAACAAATTAAAATGAGCTTTGAAAAACAGTTAGGATAACAAGTTTTCAAAACCCCACAATTTCGATCTGTTTTAAAATTTCTTAAGGGTTGTCCATCCGTGACCACTTTTGAATTTGCTATGTTCTTTACACCTTCTTTTAATGTTTTCATCGATTATTTTTGTTTCATTCAGTTTAGTGGCAGTTCTTTCTGTTAGAATTTTGATAAATGTCGTGACGCAGCTCTTTTAACGCCTTCACTACTTACCACTTTGGATTTGAGAATGCTATCTCTCTTATCCTCTTCTTCTTCCTTTTCTGCGATTTTAAGCAAAGCCAGCCTCTCCCGTAACTAAAAAGCAAGGTTGAAGCAAACTTCTCAGCAATATTTTGGACAAAATTTCGACTCAAAGGTGAAAACATGCTGACGCCCAAACAACAAAAAAACAAACAAGTAAACAAGCTAAGCTTTTTCATGGCAGGAAACCTTAGTAACAGTACCGTTCTTGATCTTCTACAGTGGTAAGAAAATTGGAGAATTTCGGAGAAAAATAGCAAGAGCAAAAAGCCAAACGTCATACCCAACTGCTAAAAAAGCGTCTAGCGTTAAAATTAAGAGTTTGACTGGACTGGACGTAAAATTTCACGTCTATAACGTTAAAATTAATGCGTTTGGCCTCAGACTGCTGACCGGTAGTCTACTATCCGGTGGTATTCCTGAAACTACTAGTTTAATGAAAGGCACTTTTTAACAAAAGTTTTTTCACAGAAAAATGACGGGAATTCCACTTTCTAATTTCTAACGGCCTCACCTCCGCGACGGACATTTCATTAAGAAGACCAGCTCCTGAACTTTCCGTGAGATCTACATGCTATTTAAACAAAAATAAAAACCGTTACTTCACGAAAAACTATAGCAACGGTACAACAATTTTCTGTAGGGGATACAAGCCATTGCTGGAAAAGAGCATGTGAGTAAATGAGTTAAGGGTGATTAACATTTAATTTCTCCTTACAATGTCGCAGCCTGATCAATCATAAAGTCAATGCCGGAAAATAAAGGCAATGAACGCCGAGTCAAAAAGGTCTCGTTACAGTTAATTAAAAAAAAAATGGTGAAATACTAGAAAAAACTTTACAGTTTATCAGACGAACTGATTTAGGGTTAATGAGCTAGTGATTAATATGGAAATAAGAGGAAAGGTACCTTAAACCTGATCACAGGCACACTTTCTATGGCTCGTATCTTGGCGATCAACGCCACTCGTTGCCTCATTTCTTCCTCAGCCTACAAAATACAAACTCCTGAATCAAAAATGTTACACAGTTAAATACTGAAAAGCAGTCAAAAGAAATTGTATTTTAATTTTTATCATTCTCCGCTGATTTACTCCTGACCACCTCGCTGTATAAACTGAACGTTCCATGAGTCATTGAGATGACGAAGCTTTTTAATCTCTTTTGCAATCACAGGTTTATGACTGGGCGTTAGCTGACAGCGCTTATTCAGTAACCCTCTTGGGAGGTTAGCTTTTGATAAGAATCTAAATATTACAGCACCTATCTCCTCACTTGTAACACTCCTTCTCTTGGTTGAGAAAAATTACGCTAAATTTACTATCAATACGTCCTGTCTCTTTTAACAGGTCTTTTTTTGGAAAAGTCTAGCAACATCCACCGCATCCTTTAATCCGCAGAAAGGAAAGGTAAAATTCGGTAAAAAAGATAACGTTACCTCTTCCAACGCTTTCCGCATCAGTTCTTGGCTTTCCTTGCTGACTTCTTGTACTAGAAGAAAAAAAGACGAAAAAAATTCAGTAACGCCAATGAAAATATGGAACAGTTAAAGCAACAAAACCACGCCAAACTGCACGATGAAGTAAAAGGTGAGTAAGTAGACACTTCAAGTGATCAGAATTGGTGTAAACCATCAATTATCATCATTAAAACAAGGCACTAGAACATCTGTTCGTCCGTGTAATATGATCAAGAACTCCAATAAAATATCATACGAAAACCTTGTACACCGATGTAAGAATGCTACCAAAAAACCCGTACCAAGTTTTTGCTTGTATTCTTGAAGTTTTCTTCGAGCTTCTTTAGTATTTTCATGCTCCATCATAGTTTGCTCAACAAGTTTTCTGCAATTGAAAAAAAAAAATTAAACTTTTGACCTGAGACACAGCGAGTTAAAACTGACGCCTTGATAATACCGGTCAAAGATTTCAGTTAAATCAGTACAGGCAACACAAACCTCATTTCTTCCCCTTCTTTTGACTTTTTCTCCAGATGCTTCTGCATCATCTCTTTGGTCTGTGAACAAAATGGTGTTACCATTCAAATGAAACCTCTTCAGCAGTACTTTCACATGGTACTATTTGCTTAGTATGTAGTTTAAACGTTTAAGTCTGATGATGAAATCCTATGGTCAGGTGACCATCCGAATGAAAGCTTTTTGGTCGTACTTTCACAGGGTGTCAGCTGTTTTTCAACATTTTACAAAATGGAATTTGGAAAATTCGTTGAATTTTGACTTTGGCCCCTTTTGAGAGGGAAAGCAAAGATGGCGCAGTGTTCAGAGCACTCCGGCGCCTTCCATCGACGTTTCCGGGGTTGAAATGCCTGGAAATTAAAGAAGCACTCAAAAGCTTCCATGCAGGCTACTTGTTCATAGTTTTGCTAGCTTAAAAAAATAATTTCGGGAGGGGGTTTCTCCGCCTAAATCCTCACTTTTAGTCATTTTCTCCTTACCTCTTCTTTCATTTCCATAACTCGCTGTTGATTTTCCTTGATCATGGTTTGTCTGGCTAATATCGCCTCTTCATAGCTCAATTTTCCCTCCTTCAAGAAAAAAAGAAGACAGATTACGATGGAAAACTAAAGAGAGCATGGTTCAGTTATGACCATGCAAACAGTCTTGGAAACAAAATCTAAAAACTCGTTTCAATTACTTACTAATCTTCGTCTCTCGATTTCTGCCAGCTTTTCGTCCAGGTCTTTCTGCAATAAAAGAACAATAACGACAACAAAATAAATACGTGTAAAAAGTAAATGAATAAGTACACAAGGATAAAAAGACAGCGTCTTCCTAACTTTTTTTTAACGCCCATTTTTCCGCGTAAAAAACACACATACAATCAGCTCGATGGATCGCTATTCGGGTGTTTAAACGATCACGATGACGACGGTGGCGAAAACGTCTGTTAAATAGTGCATTTATGCTGTTTCAAGATTTATCGCTGTCGTTCTATTCCGGCTTGTCAATTGTTGGTGAATTTTTCTGGAGTTCTCTTCTAATTAAAAGGCCGTATCTGTGTTGACTTTGTCAACAAAACGTAAGCTTAGGCAGTTTTACTTCGTGGTCGTGCAGCAATGGCAAAGAAATGTACAAAAAAGCGTGATGCACGTGCAAAGTTTCCTCGTTTCCTTCGCCGTCGTCGTCGCCTATTTAAAGCTTCCTCTTGTACACATGCACGGTCGACAATATATATTTTTAACACTTAAATACCTTTCTTGTAGTTTCTTGCCATTTTAAGAACTCGGAGGCATCTCTTCCACCCTTTTCATACTCCAATAGTCTGCAAGAAAAAAAATCAAATTGTTGGGATAAAATGCGTTTCAACACACACAACAAAGGAAATTACCAAGACAAAGTTAAATTGAAGAGAAAAGCTTACTTTTTTAATTCCTCTTCTTCCTTCTTTTGAAACAGTGCTCCTTCTCTCATGATTGTAGCGGCATTTAACTTGATCGGAATGTTTCCGCCCTGAGAAACAAAAACGAATGATTCCTTACTGTTATGCCGCAAAATGCAATAATCGCCGCAAAATGTAATATTAACGCAAAATGTAATAAGAATCGCCGCAAAATGTAATACTAACGCAAAATGTAATAAAATTTTCAACGCAGAATGTAATAATCTTTCAACGCAAACTGTAATAACTTTTCTAACGCATAATGTAATAACGCAAAATGTAATAATTTCCGAAATAACGACGTGCATGCTATTTCAAAATCAGTATTGTGGCTCAGTAATCAGTAGCTGATCCAGATCTTCATGTAAATTATTATTATTATTATTATTATTATTATTATCAATATTGATATTAATAATAGTAATAATATTTATTTTCTTCTTCTTTTTCTTTTTATTATTGTTATTATTAATGAAATAACAGTTGAAACGTCGTGTTACTTCCGTGCTGAGCTAGTCTCCCTCGCAGCCGTGTTTTCTCTCGTCACGCAACACTCTTCCCCAACAAAGGAGGAGGAGCGTTGTGTGACGAGATAAAAATGGCTGCAAGAGCTTGCTGTACTGTACGACAACTGTAACAACTGAGAGACTTGGTTTAATTTCAGGTGTTGAATTTAATTCAGTCAAATAAAATAGCTGTTGTCGAAAACAAGTAATAGAATCAACTTTCAAAGCATAATTCAAATGCATTTAAAATATAAGATATCTGTCACACTTTTTTTCATGAGAACCAGACAACTTTGCCTGTAGCTTACTTTTTCTAAGTTCTCACTTAATAGAGGCTGAATTGTTCTAAATGCTGTTTTTTAGGTCCAAGTTTCTTTTAAGTTGAAGTTTCCAAGCTTTGCAAAGTCAAATCAGTTTGCCCTGGAAGGCAGTTGTCGTTTGCCTAGAACAGATAGCGCAATATTTTTTTAGTTAGCCCAGTAACGCATTTTTGATTAGAGTAGAGTTAAGCTGATGCACAAAAATATTGAATTTGCCTGGCAAGGCAGTTGTGATTAGAAGACAGGCCATCCTCTTTTTTTTCTCCGTTTAGCGTCGTCCGACCTACCAAAATTTTTGACATTTTAAAAAACAAAGTAACGACGTAGTTAAACCATTTTCCACTTGAAATAATTCTTTTATTCTGAAAAATGAGCATAGTAACAGCATAGAGAAAAACAGGAACAAAGACATAAACATTTTTTACAGTACATTGTGTATTTTGTTAATCCAAATATGTGAATGTTAACTTTTAACGTCGTCCTGGGGTACCAGGGCCTCCTATTCCGAGACTTCTTGTGATTTGTTTTTTAGGTTTTTTTTTTAAATCCGACCGACCGACTCAATATCAGGAAACGCATTCGACGCTAAACGAAACCTTGAATTTGCTCAGCCACGCAATCGCCATTGGCTTAGAGTTGACGGCACCAAATCGTGAACTGGGAGATCCATAAAGAGTGCGCAATTTCGTCTTTTTAGGGACGACCATTTTTGACCACTTGAGGGGGGGAGGGTGTATGGGTAATTGTTTTGGGTTAGAATTTTTGGATAATCATGGGAAACTGTGCACATACCCCTCCCCTAAGCCAACATTAACACTCATTTCTCACTTAGGGCGAAATGTTGGCTTAGAGGACGGCTAGGTGGGCACTGTATTGGGACCTGTATTACGTTCAAATCAGCGAAAACAAACGTCCCATTCGGTTCTCTAAAGATGATTACATCTCCTCATTTCAACTGTTTCATTGTAATATTAGCAATAATAATAATAATAATAATAAATAGTAATAGTAATATTAATGTTATTAATAATATTAATATTAATATTGATATCAATAATAATAATAGCTTATAATTTAATTGAAGATCTGAATTCGCTACTACCGATGACTGAGCAACAATACCGATTTTGAAATAGCATGCACGTCATTATTCGGAAATTATTACATTTTGCGTTATTACATTATGCGTTAGAAAAGTTATTACAATTTGCGTTGAAAGATTATTACATTCTGCGTTGAAAATTTTATTACATTTTGCGTTAGTATTACATTTTGCGGCGATTCTTATTACATTTTGCGTTAATATTACATTTTGAGGCGATTATTACATTTTGCGGCGTAACACTTACTGTCATAGTCAAAGATAACAATTTTACAAATGACATGAGCGCTCGAAAGAAGAGAAAGAAAACTTCGGAATCGATGTTCTGTTGTTAAAAGCTGAGGCTTGAGCTCGTAGTGCCAGGAGAAGTGAAGCCTTTAAAATCTAAGGTCATGCAATGGCATTTAACAAGTAGACTGCATTTTTTTTCACTCGCCTCACACGCCCCTAGTGCGTGTGAGGCTCGCGCGCTTCGCGCGCGCAAGACTCTTGCGCCACGCTTTACCGATTTCTTTACTGATTTTGAGAAAAAAACTGACTGTTTTGCAGTCTATTTAACAAGCGATTTTTCCCAAATTAAAGGCAAATGTGTCCAATGGTCATTGCTTTAGTTTACCCTCCGTTTCGTTGCTGCTTCAAGTGTATGTGTTTAGTTATGCTCTAAACAAAACAGTGGTATTACTGGTAACTACAACATAGCGTAAACGAAAATCTGTAATATCTCACCGTAGTTGAAGGCATTTCCTGTGCTTTCGCTTTATTAAACTGTAACCTGCAAAGAAAGATAGAAACACTAGCTGAAAAGATCTACCATACACCTGTATACGGCGCTCATACCCTGCGCAAAATTTTCGATCGATTTGGTTGAAATCTTTCGCTTCTAAATACATCTGAATAAACGAATTTTTGCGCTCTTAGCCCATATATTCCATAAGTGGTTATTACCGTATTTACTTGATTAAACGCCGCACCCAGTCACACGGATGCTGCTTTTATTTGAGGATTATAACAAAAACCTCATTTATACCTACACCTTCCAGACAATTACGGCTCTCTCTCGGCGAGAACGCGAGACATGGGAAGTCTAACATTAACTTAAATATCCTTCTTCTTTTAGGACGCGATGAGAAGCGGCTGTATTCGCTGGCTACTCTGTATAAAGTGTATTTACATGTACAAATGACTTTCAGTTATTCAAGAGATGTGATTTTGAAATAAACGCCGCCTTTGAATAGACGCCGCGCGCATAGAAAACGCTGAGGGATGTAGCAAATACATGTAACAAGAAACTCAGTTGTGGATAGGGTTTGCCTAAACTTTTTCAACCTACCCAACATACTTTAGCCGCTTTCGCATTCTTTACAAAAGACCAGCTAGCTTTAGTTACTTACTTGGAGTTTTCTTCATCTATAATTCTTCTCATTCTTCTTTTAGCTTTGTCTGATTTCTCAGCGCTGGCACAAGCTGGTTGGCGAGCAGATGACCTGATCAGTTCCTCCTGCGGTCAACACACAAATAATAGGTGCAAAAATGAAACCTTTGAGCCTTGAGTATAATGCCCTACAAAGTGTGAACTTTGAGGTAGCGTTTAACAGGAGTGACAAAGCTGATTTGATACAATGTAGTTTCTGTTTCGTTAGTTAATTTTAACAGCCAATAAAGAGACGCCCTTGCCCGTTCTCTACTCTCCCTTTTAAAAAGCTTATTTCAGAGCCTGGCTTGTTCCAGGCATTCAGGGACGGTGCAAATAAAAGTGACCAGGAAATTACAGCGAGGCGGTTCCGTTTTTTTCCTTCTGCTCTCCATTTGGCGCCACTATTCACTATCTGAACTCTTGGAAAAGGCCATTCAGAGCCCAAACAAACAAGAATCATCCAGAACCCCCTTGGGCTTGAACCCTGTATTCTGCTTTAGAGGTCAGAAAATTCTTAATCTAACCGGCAATAACGGATTTACTTTCTCATTAGGCAATTTAGGATACCCATTTAGGACTTACAGTCAACTTGCTTTATAAATTATAAATTATAAGGATTAGGACAACCTGGTCTCTGAGCTTTTAAATCTTTCTACTTTTTCCTTGAAATTCCAATTGATTGCTGCAAATTACTGTTTCATAAACTTTTATAATTTTTTTTGACAAAGGGAATGATCACTTTACAGAAAGAGAAACGACCTGTCCTTTCCTGTTTCATCTTACCTCTGCTCTACGTCTATTTTCTTCCCGGATTTTAGCAATGACGTCTTCTTCAACTGGTGCTCGGTATGTGCTTTGAGGAACCTGGTCACAAACAAAATAGAAGTAAGTTTTAGTAAAAAAAGTGTCTCTGAAATTACCCACGTGAATTTAAATGGCTTAATTCAGTTTAATTTTGAAAATTAAACCGATAATAAGAGTCTTGTCGGGCGGGGGTGACTCTGTTGTGAAAGGGGCAGTGATATTGAGCAGAAAATTGGAATTCTCATGAGTCCAATCTAGGCATGACTCAAGTAGCTTTATTTGACTGCTAAAAGATTATGTTCAAACAGAAGCCAAATAAGTTTTCTGAACAGTAACTTTAATCGCGATAAGGACGTTGCCAATGATTGTGTTCTTCATTTTCCTCTCTCTTTTTTTTTTACAATTTTGCTTCTTTAACCATACCACACATGGTAACACCGGAGAAAGAAGCAAAAACCACGTGAAAGGACCTGAAAAATTGGGTGAAAAATTACCCACCACATTCCATCTTCACCAAAAAACTAAACGCAAGAAAAAAAAAAATGAGGCAAGAAAAGCGAAAAATTCATAAAATATGCACTTTTAAACCCAAGTCTCGAAATTTTGCTTTCTGCGCATGCCCGAACCGCAAGCTGATATTTTAATGAACTAATGAGCATTACATTGGAGTTCTTCTCCCAAACCAGGGAAAAAAATAATCTACTTAAACTTAATTCTTGTCTCCTTTGTGTACACAATATTATTGATATTTGGCTTCTCACACAATGCTCCTCCCTAGGGAGGGGTGCTGTGTCATGTGCCAACTAACGACCAAAAATTACTGCAGTAATGATGTACAATGTATTTTACTACTTACTGGCTTTAGCTTCTTTAATTTTGGTATCTGAAAAACAGGAAACCAATTTTGGTAAATTAAGGACATCAGTAAAAATAGGCAGATTTGGGAAAAATTTAGAAGGGGAGATGGGTGCGGTTGCCCCCTCTCATCGGGGTCAAGTGGCCTCTGATGGAAAATTTCGGGGCCCCAAAAAATGTATTTCAGTTTGTAGTAGTTAAACCTCTCTACAATGACTACCTTGGGGACTGCAGAAAATGGCCATGGTAGAGAGGTGGCCATTGTAGAGATGTTGAAACAAGAATGAGAGTATGGACTGTCTGCCAAAAATGGCCGTTGTGGAGAGGTGGCCATTAGTGGAAGTTCGACTGTAGTATTTCAAGTAACCAGGGAAAGAAATTTAGCCTCAAGGACGACTCACGTTTGCTCTGTTTAGATCGTATGTCTGTTTTACTGAACAAAGCTTATTATCTAGTCTGAAATGTCATTTGTCTCTTTGCAACCCCCCCCCCACCCCCTGCCAAATGGGCAGCAAGGTGAGAGAGACGTCTGAATTTACAGCATTACAATGCTGTCCTGTGTCATCACAGACTTTTGCGAAAAAGGTAAGTCAACGCTGATTGGTGTAGCTTAAACTATGGAAGCTTAAACTATGGAGAATTGTCCAAATCAGTCAAGATAATTCTTTAGGTACTGACAAAGTCTATTTTGAAAAGCACACTAATGTCACTCATAGCCCCCAACTAGATATTTATGCATAATTGCAGAAGTTATTCTGTGACGTCATGGGATGGCATTATAAATGCTGGGTCATTCAGTCGTCTCTCTCACCTTGCTGCCCATTGGGGAAGGGAGGGTGGGGGAAAGAGACAAATGACATTTCATACTATTCATTATCTCACTTAAAAAAATATTTTCTGTTTAACCGCAAGTGACACTTCCATGCTGACTAGATGGTAATGTCCCCTTTTAATTTACCAATATTGGTATAGTCAGACAGAGCACTAGGGAGGATGCAATCAAAGAGCAGCCTGTTAAGGAGTATAGCTGGTCACTCACAGACTGTGTGTCAGGCTTTGAACAAGATTTGTTTTTGACATGCTCACCTTTTCAGGGACCTGGAACTGGTACAAACTCTCGTAAATGGAACACGACATTTGTTAAGTTAAATGGGTTTAGGCTCTCTGGAAACAGATGGGATGAGCGTGTTCCATTTGAAATTCGGAAATTTTGACTAAATGTTATTAGGCTTTGAAAATTTTACAAACCTTTTCAGATATTAAATGGTCTGGGAGTTGTTAAGTTAAAGGTTTAGGCTCTGAAACAGATGACATGATTGGGTTATGTTATTAATAAATTTTAGAAATCAGATATTAAATGTCTGAGTGTTTAACTCATACTTAACTGATGGGTCAAGAATTTATAAATACTTGACCCATAAGCATCATTTCAAACACTAACCTGTTGCTGGTTTTGGTCTGCGTGGCTTCTGCTTGTTTGCTAATTTATCCCCTAATTCAGCCACCAGATCAAGGAACTCAGGCATCCATCTAAATAATGAAGTTAACATTTCTATAATCACCAAAATGTTTATGCGTTTTGACTACAAAATTAGACTGACAATCATTGTCCAAAGACAGTAACTTTGCCAAAATTCTTGTTTGTTTATTCATACTAGTGTGACCTTCTTAAATCTCTCACTCACCTCAACAATGGAGATACCAGAGTTGTTTGGACATAGCTGTGTTCATAGTGTTTACACCACTACCAATATAATAATAATAAAAAAATGGAATGATATTAAACTTAAAAACCATAATATTATTTATTGTAAAAAATCTGATAAGCCATGAAGGGATGCATGAAAAAAATCCTAAGTGATTTCTCATCATGCATGGAATAAATTATCTACTTCGAAAAATTTATACCAAAGTGTATTTGCCTGTGAAATAGAAGGAAAATTTAACATTACAGTAAGAGTCAGTTAGGGACTTATTTCCCTACTCCCTTTTAAATGATAGGGGGCTTAAGCAAGCACGACAGCAATGGCAGTGAAAATGTCACTTGAAAAATTAATACAACGTGGACTAACAGCGATGAAGTTCGCAACACCTCTTCATGTAATAATTATTACATGCAGTTGTGTTGCAAACTTCCTTGCCATTAGTCCACGTTGTTTAATTTGTCAAATCTTGTCAAATTTTTCTGGAGATAAATTCCAAAGGACTGTATCAAAGTGCAATCTTGAAAAGATAAGAAAATTTAAGATGTGTTTACGTCCTCCAAAAAGCATGAAATTAGGCATTTTCACAAGTAAAAAACAGACTTCATTCATTTGCTGCCCGGCAGACCTTTTATTTTTCATATGAATTTCTACTAGTAACTCTAGAGAGGAGAATTCCATGAAATGTATCTATTAGATGTCCATCTCTCCAGCTTTGCAATGTTTAAATAGGTTTATAAATATGGTAATAACATGTACGTACTGAATTAAATTAACAATTATTTAATATTATTGTTAATATTATTTTTACCTCATTTTTCATCCAAGTTTTGATGTTCTCTTCGTTGAAAAAGAATGAAAAAAACTGGGTAACAAAAACAAGAAAATATTTATAAAAATTACTAAGTTGTACTGCATGAATTAAGAATTACTATACATGTTCCTACTTCAGACATTGTAGTACATAAGGCAAAAAAAGTTAATATTTTCTGTATTAGAAAAGGCAACAATTACTAAAACCACTCACTCTATGCATCTTGTTTGCTTCATAGCTCAAGACAAATTTTCTGAAATGTGCAATCCCTAATTCATCAATTCTGTACAGTGCCAAGTATGCCAATACTGAAACAAAAGGTGTGAGTGAGATTTTAACTGTATTATTCTAGTTAAATATGAATTTGTGATAAAATATTTTTTCAACGCCTGTAGTGTAGTTTCCATAGTGCTACATGTAAGTGTGGCCGCAGCCAAATAATGTCTAGGCATTTTGAAACAACTTTTTCAATAGGTATTTGATATGAATACTTTCAATATATATAAAAGTACTGCCCTAACCTGTGTAAACATTCCTTTCGGAACGAAGCGAAGTCTTTCCTACCTCGGCATAAAATGCATCTACAACAACCTAAATGAAAATCACATCAAAACACAAATATAAAAGATGCGGTTACTTTAAAATACTACAACAAAAAAATGACAAAAACAGGCATGGTGGCTTGATTCTTGGGTCGCATGATCAGTTCCAACTCTCAGTTAAGGTTTTGTTGACCAGGTGACTGATAACATCCAAATTGAAAAAAAAAAGGAAAATTTTGACATATTTTCATCCCGAGTGATTTCTCTATCAATTGATTGTTACTGCCAGTTCTTAAGAATGACCTACTGTATTTAATACAGAATAGTACTTGTTTTGAAAGCTCGTAGAAAATGATTTACTTACAGCAAGTGCACATGTTTAAGCGGGTACATGTACCATTCAGAACCAACTTTTTAAAATTTTTCATAGTATAAAACTATAATAATTCATACAGACCTTCAAAATGCTGCTGTACTGCACACATCCCGAGTAAACCTCTGTTATGAATGATTCGTCGCTTTCTTCAAGCCCCTAATTTTTAAAATTATATATGACTTAAATTCAAATTGTGTTTTTTTTTTCCTGCAAACTTCTTTCCTCTAATGGTACCACTAAATTAAAAGGAGAAAATTTTACTTACTTGCTTAGTCGCTAAACAAGAATTCAGATGTTCCAAAACGCCATGAATCCTCGGGTTGAAAGAGTCTAATATCTCGACACAGCAGCTTAACAAATGTTTATGGTTCATGTTGATTAATTTGTATACACTTTCTGCGAAAACACCCGATCAAAACTTTGCTTTACTTCTTCGTCGTTCAATGTTGCAGTAATCCAAAGGATCGTTCACCAGTTTAAATGCACTGAACAAAAAAATTCACTGATTCACAGGTAGAAATGCTCACTGGTGGACGCCATGTTGTTTGTGTAAAAAATGTTTTACCAAGCAACAGACTCGTGCCAGTCTCCGTCAGCCGCGAAGGTTTCAGACAGCGGTTCAACTGGATGCATCATATATGTTGATTAATGCGTCCTCACTGCAGTTTACAACACCAAACGAAAGACGGTGGGCACTCACGTCACATTCCATTAGATTACTTTGAACATGGATTGTTTTTCCTTGAAGCATAAAGACAAAGGTGCCATTTTTAAGACACTTAGAAAATTTTTGACCTGTTATTGTGAGTTGAGTTATTAAAAAGAAAGAAAATCGCAACCCAAATTCAAACCCGGACATCGCTTATTATTCCAGGGAATATATTACATCTGTCACGACTAAAGCCTTGGTTACCAATGGTGGCATCGGCCGTTTATAAGGGGAATAGGCGTCAGCTGCTGTTGGTACTTTCTGACCTAACCAGTCATAGCCAGTTTCGGGGAAATCCAGAGGCGAATTTCTGGGTGGGGATGTGCCGCTGGGAGCCTGAACCCTTAACCTTTTGCTAGTTCAGCTGAATTTTGCTACCCTATACTGTAAACTCCCCTAATCCAGTAGCACCTAGTCTAGATAAAATCTTCAACCAACTGATCAGTTTCCTGAAAAATGATACCCTATTCTAGAGCCAAACGCTCTGATTTATATACCCTATTCTAGAGTAAACTGCTTGAAAACCATACCCTTCACAGCGGCACATACCTATATAGCCCATATATGGCAGTACCCCCCCCCCGGGTTCCAGACCTTGCACCAGCTCACCGCAAAATTCTAAACAAAGTTGTCTTTTTGCCCTCTTTTAAATAGCCTGAGACAACAGCCGAAATTTCACGACGCCATTCCCGGCGAAATGACGTCTGAGAAACGAACGCAGAAATTCCATACTGGTAACGTGTATGTCACTAGCCAGAACTTCTCGGTAGTACTTCTGACTGGTCGTGCCGCGAGGGTAATTTGCTTCGGCCAATCAAAGGCACTACCCAGATCTGGGTAGTGACAGGTCATCAGAAAATCATCATTATAGAATTTCCCCAGACGTCATTTAGCGAGGAAGCCAGAGGCGGCGTCGCGAAATTTCGGCTGTTTTGTCGAGCTCTCACTTTAATTGCCATCGTAAAATTCCGAGTTGCTTGGTTACATTATTAACTCTGAAGATCAGTAAAAGGGTCATAGTGCAATGCGTTGTTTATTTTAGTCATTTGAAAAAACTGTCATAAATCTGTTCTCCGCAAACTTTCGTGATTTCTGCAAAGTGATTCCTTTTTGTCTTCCGCAGACGTTCAAAGGGGTTTTCGTTTCAGGGGAATCAGACGAGTGAGGTGGTAGGTGATCTTTCTGGGCTGTTTTTGCCACGACTCACTTTGCGCGGCGGAAATCCAAAAACCTCTCAAGAGAGTGGCTTGATTGCTTTGGCCGAGGGGGAAAAAAGGAAAAGGCCCGCTCCCGCCAAAGGAAAGGTAATTTGCCACGCGGCTTAAAAAACAATGTAAAGTTTGTCCAAATTTCCCACGAACTGATTGGTTGGATGGTTTTGAATCTTATACAGTAATATCACAGTCACACTTAACGTTCGATCACAATTATTATTTTAATGATTCATACGCAGCTAACAACATATTTTCAAGTTTTATTAGGTTTATTGTGTTCTCTACAAGTGACCACATAGCAAATAAAACTCACCTAAACAGAACGTCTCTAAGTGTCCACTGTTAGTAGCTTACTAACCCTCTTTTACGAGCCCTCAAAGTTATGCCCCGACTTATCTCCACACGGATAAAACAACAACTTCTTATTCTGACGACCATATTCATTCGGATCAGAAGTAAAAAAAGAAAACACAAGAAAGAAAACTCAGCTATTTACATGGACCTTTGGTGGTCGCAAAAATGGGCTTTCACTGTGTACACTGGCTATTTCAATTAACGCTGTGGGATTTACAGGCCTCTATGTCCAGCCTCAGTATGCAACAGGAGCGCAAGGTCTTGTGGGTCGCTCTGCTCCTTTGTAATCGGTCATTACTTTGTGGTCGTCGGTACAATAGAACGGTTTAAGACATCACAAACGTTTAACCTTGTGATTTTATGACGAAGGAGTTGCTTTAACAAGAGTTTGGTACAATTTAATCAGATTACCTTTAGAGCAATGCGGTCTCGTTGCGTAGGCTATCCGACCTTCAACTGAAATAGCTGTATTTACAAAACATTACGATACACAATATTCGAAATTACATTCGAAAAAGAAAACAACCATTGTCAACGTTGTATTCCAACAAAGCTTCAGCTACCTCCCGCCACCTGACGCCCAAAGGAAAAGCGATATAATGATACCGAACAAAACCACTTTTTCCCCTTCCATCGAGTTAAAATGATGGGGGAGTCCCTGCACTGATCTGATCTCCCACTCAAGCTCCTAATGAGCGGTCTTTATTCTCAATGAAAAAAGTCTTCGACAATCTCCGTGGCTGAAGAACACTTCCGCGCTTGTCTTAGGAATCTCCTAAGCTTCGTCTCTGTGTCTTTGTCTTTGGCGGCGTATTTCTTCTTCTTTAACATTTTGTCGGCGAGATAGTGAAGCCAGAGGACATTGGAGTGTGGTTCAAATGTTTCCCAGTCATTTCTGTTGATCAAGAAATAAGTGTCATGATGAAAACTTTTCAATTCGAGATAGGTTTAACCATGAGCTCCTGGTTTAACTCTATTTAGGTTAAGTTTCAAAGATATGATCCTTACTGGTTTGTCTTTTTCATCAATCTATACACGTCGAACTGGTAATCTCCTTTGCCAGTAAAGAGTGATTTATCCTCGGCCAAGTTGCAAAATACAGTTACACCATCTAGTGCAAGGAAAACATAACAACAAGCAGGTTAAAGACTTGACCATGCTTTACTCTATGAGCACAAAGATTTCCCTTGCCACATAAAAAATTGTTGAAGAAGAAACTGGTAATTTCTACTTTGTGTATCTGGAAACGTCACGAGCCATATTCATTTCAGGGTGCTCAACATATGTCGCGACAAAATTGCCGGGTAACTTTCAGAACTGAAATTTTTTTAGCAGATACACTCGCGGTGGAGATGATATTGTGGGGACACCTTTCAAAAAGGGGCACCAAAGCCCTCCCCAGATAGCAAAATGATAAAACTTCTTACATTTGATAACTTGTTTCCACCACCACGACATTCTCGCTAAAACTCGTAGTAGAATGACGACCGCTATCACGTTTTCCTGCCAAAATGACGCTGGTTCACGCATGAGCAATACTCAGTATTGAGAAATACTCTAAGAAATACTCGTAGTCGTTCTTGTCCCTAGGACGACTACGAGAACGAGAACGAGATTTTCTCAATCTTAGTGCGCGCGCGTGAACCAGCGTCATTTTGGCCGCAAAACGCGATGGCAGTCGTCATTCAACTACGAGATTTAGCAAAAAAAGTAGAAGTGACGGATACTTGTTATAAAATGTTAGAAGTTTTATAATTTTGCAATTGGGAGAGGGCTTATACTCTTTCAATAAAAATAACCGTGTTGACTTTTTGGTGAGTCTATTTTTTTGAGAATACGCGAAAATATCGCCGTCGTAGTCGTAGTGGTCTTCAAATCTCAAATTTAAGGTTTCGATTGGTCTCTATTATATTCTAAAAGTTTGAGTAACAACCACCTAATTATACGACTTTTTCGTATTCGTTAGCTTATTTTGTCTGAATGAAGATTAGGTTTTCTAGACGTATTTACAGTCAAACCAGGTCAAGCGTTCCCGTCGCTAACGAACTAATGAATTCATTCACGGAAAAATGATTTCGTTTGTTGATTCAATAATCCATTCATAAAATGAACAATCCAATAGTCATATTTAGCCTCGATTCCATAATCGAATGTTGATTCGATTACTGTTTTTTGAAAAATTACACTTTCCACAAGTTGACCTCAGAATTTTGTTTTTTCCTCTTTTTTTCTGAGAGTCGAGTGCTGGCGAGTTCTGAAGTTCAAACCCAAACAAACTGTTACATGTACGCCAGTTTGCTGCCAATAATCAGTGCAATAGACCTAGGCCTGACCTCTTAGAAAACACGACGGTCAAACTGAGGTCAGTGTATGTGCGGTGATTGGTGGATTTCGATCCTCGACCTTTGTCAGTTTCTTTGCGTTTGCGGTCTGTCTGTTCTAGCTGTTATTTTGATTAAAGGCAATGAAAAACGCAATCGTAAACGGCAGGAAAAGGGAAGCAAATACGATTGAACACAACAGACAAGAATAAAGAACAGGTAGATTTTGTTCATAAACCAAATCAACATTTGATTATTGAATCGAGGTACAATTTGACCGTTGGATTATTCATTTTATGAATGGATTATTGAATCAACAAACGAAATCATTTTCCCATTAATGAATTCATTAGTTTGTTAGCGACGGGAACGCTTGACCTGGTTTGACTGTAAAGGTCCGAAGGCCTCAGTTTTAGGTTTAACATGAGTAGCGTTTTATTACCCTTCTTAAGCCTTGAAAGAGTGAAATCTATCAAGCTAACACGGACGCCATGTGTAGGCACTGTTTTTCTTTCCCCAAGTAAGCAGCTCTCGATAAACTCGTCTTCAGTCCTACTGATCAGCACATTGCCCCAATGAAGATCACGATGTTCAAATTCAAGCGCGTTCTCGGCCACTGCCAGACCGAGCGCGGTCTGGTGTAGAACACTCCAGGCTTCTGCCATGGCGCCAAACTCAAGGCCTTCCAGGTCTCTTCCGCCATTGGAGAATTCAAACACAATGAAATATTGGTCTTTTGGAAAGATATCTGAGTAGAAAATGGAAGTGAATTGAGCGGTGGTTAAAAAAAACCTGTGGTAAAATACAGTAAAAATCCGCGAGCAAGAACCTGGTTATTAAGGACCTGCTAGGATAAAATTTGCCAGTTAGGCAAATACAAGAACCTGTTTAGCCTAGAATTTGAAACAGGTTCTTACTTTTTAAAATCTATAAAAAATCATGTACACTTGGGCAAATAAGATAAGTCAACATTCAGGAACCTCTTTGGAGACATAGACGCCTACTTACTCCAACTGCAAAGGTGATGGTATGCAGGTTTTACCATAGGAATGAGCTGAACACTTCTAAATACTCTCTGTATTTTTTCATCGGAAAATAAAAACCTATTTAAGACCCCCAATAGCCCTAATTTTTGCTAGTTTTGTTTGGTTTGTAAGAACCTGTTCAGGCTAACTTGAGAAAATGCAGGTTCTTTGTCGCGGATAAATCAGAAGAGGTACTCAACATGCAAGAAAGTAAGAAACATGAAACAAACAAACGAACAGTGTAAAAAAGTGTGACGTTTTTCCCGAAATTCACTTCTTATTGTATAACAAGTTGCAAAGGGTTTACTGCGTTGCAGTTGCAAGGCAAGTTTGGCACTCTAGCTTAATATCAACCTGGTCTATCGTTCTCTGAATTGTTTTCTTCATTCCATTTGTCCCATTCTGAAATAAGATGCTTCGGGTATTTATCACGGCAACAAGTGACACTGAAAAAAAGGAAAAATAGTGAGTTTCACTTCCGTTTTTGGCACAATTTGAAGGCTCGAAAGAAACTGATCATACAACTTTACTTGAAAAGCTCACCCAGCTGGAGATAAAGCAACAGAAACGCCACGAACTATGAACTGTTTTCGCTATATCATCTCAGTTATCCCTTCATTAAAGGTAAAGCAAGGACCGTAAAATGGTTCGTCCTTCTTTCCTAAGAGCCACGCGCGACAAGCGAAAAAGTAAGATTACGTAACTTTAACTGTTAAAAGCAGGAGTGATTGGGTGGGCTCGTTCCTTTCGCGTGCTCTGATGATCTACTGTGAATCAAAAAATAAGAGATTGCTCGCAGTCTATCACAAGCACAGCCTATTTCACCTTGACAACGGCTTGGACGTAAACATAAGCTCAAGCACTAGCACATGAATCATTTTTTTTGTAAAAGCAATCACGTTGGAGTTCGTTTACACTTTTGAACCCACAATGAAGTTGGCTCTTTTCCTCGCCATCAGATTAAAAGACTGGTTGCAGTTTCGTGCCTCGGCATTTTTTGATGGGTGAGGCTGTGCGCGAACTTGCCGTTTATTCTTCATCGAAGGTGGAAAATAATAAAATATGCTTGATGATTGCGGCTGGTCACCAAACCAGATTTGGAGGATGTACGCACGCCGGGAAGAAAAATTAGAGAGGGGGTCTGGGAGCATACTTCTTCAGGAAATTTTTCAAGTTAGGGTCCCGGAAATGACATTTCCTGCCTTTTTGCTAGACATTTTCACTAAATCAACACGAAGGAAAATGCTGTTGGGGGAGCAACGAAGGGCACATTTTCAGTTTTTTTCCCCCATAACATTTCTTGCCGTCCGTTTTTGGAATAATATAAAAAGGATGAAGGAAATACTAACACAAAGACACCAATGAAATGCGAAAAAGTTATCAGCCATCACGATTAAATGATAAAAATCACCGGCTGTTCGCATGGGCGTATTGTATATGGACGCTACGCTCCTGCCAAAGGCAGTCCGTTGTTGTCCCCGCCGAAATGGGTTATAAACTTCGGTTTTCCTATTCGCCTCGAGAAGCGCGAGGTTTGGCGAGACAAGTATTTCTAGTTAGCTTCACCTACTACGAACAGAAAAATGTTTAATTTCTCCAACCTGTGAACTGTTATGAAACTTCCAGTTATGTTGTCTACTGATTGATCCTGTTTAAACGCAAACAAACAAAGGTTAAATAGTAAATAATGGCTATGGAGGGGATTGCAATGCACAAACTGATAGGGACTGTCGGGATGGGGGTGGAGGGCAAGGAGTTGAAATTCTCCCTTCCCAAACCCGCTTCACCGAAAAAACTGACCTGTTCATTAGCATCTCCAAGTAAGCTCAGCTCCCTAGCAAAAACATAATATTAAAGAATGTTGCATTTTGTATCACTGTTGTGGAAACATAATGATAACAGGGGCGGATCCAGGATTTTTTGTTAGGAGGGGGTGCACTCGTCCCTTGCTCTACTTCAACACCAATAAACAGAACACCAGTTGTATTAGAAAACCGCAGGTCATCTCAGGGGGGGTTACTTATTACTTATTAAATTAAATCATGGTTTTACTGATATCAAATAATGATTTTTATTATATGAAATCCCCTGATTTATTATATCAAATCATAAACTTATGATTTAAAATCCTCCCCTAGATCCATCCCTGGATAATTTTGAAATATCAAATGGAAAGAGGACTTACTTGGAAATCACAATTTCAGGTAGGATTTCCTCAAAAGACTTTTGTGGTTCATCGTTTACTGGAAAATCTCCCTCCACTGGAATGATCTAAGATTGATATACAAAAGGAGCAAGATATTTTTATAGAAAAGTTTGACAAGTTCAGCCTTAGTTCATGTCAGCAGTACAGCTGTAGATAGTAATCACTTGCAATGTAGATTGCACCATTTTAACTGCTTATTGATATTCTTCTTCAGGCAATGACGGCAAATGGCTATGAGACACCTCACGATGCTAGTTGCTTTGAATGGTTGGTGAATTAATAGACTCAAGATTGAAACTTACAACACCGACATATTTAAAACTAATGGCATTAATAATAAATTAATTAAAAATTTATCTAAAAAAATGCAAATTTTCTATGCAAATATGATCAAAATTATGTGATAATTCATTCTATAAATCTTAAAAAGCAAATAAAAGCTCAAATGAACATAGTAATTTTAGCTAAAAATATAAATAAAACACTTTATACTACATAATATGGTTAAAAACATTACTACATACAATGTGACAAAAGCAAGTTTAAAAAGATGGGTTTTACATAGTAAAGATTAAAAAAATTACACATGAAATTCATTGTCTCATGATTATATTTATTTTTTATAATGACTATAATAAAGCACACAAAATATAAAGTCTGTTGTTATGGAAGCTACAAATGCTACTACCTTAAGTGCAATAGACTCCCCATTTTCATACTGTGCTTTGAAAACTTCACCATAAACTCCCTCTCCAATCTTAACACAACTCTCCAGCAAACTGCGAAAAGAATTAGCCAATTTCAGCCGTCTCAAGATAAGCCAAAAGCTGTCTTATCTACAATGGAACCCTAACAGAATGTTGACGTTCCTCAAAAACAGCAATATGGATGGGGTAAGGATAAAGCTTTGACAAAAGGCTTCTTGTTTTTTTGTCCCAAATGAATTTCATCAGATTGGGGCTTCATGATATCAGGCTTACCAACATCAGACTAGAATATGGTACTAACCATTCTAACAGTATCACAATTTAATAAAAGATGCAAAAAGTACAAGATAATTGTTTTTAGTTGTAACAAGCCACTCATTTGGTGTCCACTGTAAAAACATTATGCCTCAAGAAAACTAACAAATTTAGGTTTTCAGTCAGATAAAAGTTAATTGGGGATAAATGAGTGATAAATTTCATTCAATGCAAATTGCTAGTTGCAGAGTGAATAATTCTAAAATTAAAATACATGCATCTGTACCTGGAGTCAAGAAAATCTGCAAATTTAACTGGTGCTTCTTGATCACATTCAGCCAATACTTTGTCAAAAGCACTCAACTGATCAACAGTCACATGGCCACTTTGGTCCTTCTTAGCAGGAGTCAATGCTTCCTTAAGTTTATAGGTAATAAGAGTATTTCAATGAAGATATAATGATAGTCACAGTTGTATTACTAACAACAAAGCAATCACAAATTTACCCGAACAAAAAAAAAGGGGGGGGGGGAACTTTAACGGAATAATTATTCAAACCCATGGCCTCTGCATCAGTGTTACAGTGCTCTACCAACTGAGCTATAGACTCACACATTGGGTGCAGGCCAGTTAGTTGGGTTCATTTTATATAGTAATAAGAGTGTTAAACTAACTGCCGAACATCATGGATCAGATCAGTTCAGGTCAACCACTAGCTCTAGACCCAATCCATGTCAGTGAGTGCATGACTATAATTTGAAGTTCATCTGATCAGCTCCAATCTAGGTTTTGCTGATCCCTGTAGTGTTGCTGATGGTGCAATCACCATTCATATTTATTAATATGCAAAAAAAATATACCCTGCATTACATTATTTCTGTATTGTTCAAAGTTCACTCCTGCTAGAGTAATTATACTCATATTTTAGTCAGTGATCTAGTACATAGAATTTAATATAAAAGCCCCTTGCATTATGGGCCAAGACATAGCCTATAAAAATTGAAAACAATGCCCATACTACAATGCTGATGCAGTAGCCTCCAAAAAACCTTTGCAACAAGAAACACTGATCAAACTAGTCAATTGTCATATGCAATTTGGAAACTGGCCTCTCCATATGGAATACTCAATACAATGAAAGACAACTTTAATACTCTTTATTTACAAGAATTAAGGCAGTGCTTTATGATTTCAAGATACCAAATGACATTGCAGGCTGTTATCGTCTTGTTCTTATTACCATTAAACTCTGGCCAAAGCTTTAATAAGTTAAGCCATGGTTTAAATTACCAGCCAGTTTTTCATCTAAAGGGCAATTAATTTTCAAATCTGATGTCCAATAATTTTCAAACCAGTTTTCTGAAACTGACAGCAGATTGGATGTTATTACACAGCATACTATCCCAAATTTAATGATGTAAGTAAGTAATGTTTTGTCCACAAAAATTAATATTATTATTCAAGTGAACGGCTTACCACAAATGAAAGTTGACACTTCTCTGTTTTTCTTCTCTTTTTCAAAGGCGTAATCCTCAGTTTCTCAAGAGAAACCACCAACTCTGAAGAGAAATTCCCACTAGCACTTCTCCCTGAAGATTGCAAATGCTCTGTATTTTGATCTGTGTTCGATGGTGTATGAACACTGTTCTTGTTTATCTCTGGTTTATCATTGGATGTTGCAGACAAACGTTTCTTCCACTGAATTGGAGTTATTCTGAGTGGCTTCAACACAACTTTACCATCCAAAAACTTGACCTTGTTGTTATTTGACTTACTTGGACGTCTAATAATTACCTCAAGAGAACTATTTTCAGATAAAGGTGTCGAAGTGACATAAGGTTGATGTCTATCAAATCCAGAGGTGTTACTTTTCGAGCTACTACCGTCCCTATTTTCAAAACCATTAGAACCAATGTCCATGGGACTTGTGTTGGAATTATATAACACATTACTAACATCAAAGATGTTATCAGGGAAACTGTTGCTTGAACTGTTGCATTTAAAATCTGTAAAAGAATTTTTGTGGTGCGATCTGCAGTCAGGTGATATGCTACATTCTTTACTGTCTTGAACACAGATAACTTCCCCTAAAATTTGACAACTGCTATCTTCGTTGCTTTCCAAAGTGTCATTTGCAAGAATGTCACTTTTTATAATTTTATCATTAACTAGAATGGAACTTTGTTCACTGAGGCCTTCATCCAGCTGTCTTGATGGACTGTTTTCTTTGTCTGAATTATCAGCATTGGAATTCCGGGCTAAAGATCGAGTGAATAAACCATTTTGTGCATTTCTTGGTTTTTGTTGGTAAATTGTAGCCCTTTTTGCAGTTTTGCCCCTAAAGAATAAAAACAAAAAATGTCAAGAAATGATATGACGATGCATACTTACAACTAATTGGTCAAAAATTACTCGGCAGACTAGTCCACGATTCTCGCCAAAGAACAACTTATCATTGCGATGATAAGCTTAGTTTAGAATAAAAAAGGATTTCGAGGTATTTAAGAGATAATCTTACCATAAAGTTGTCTTTGGCCTTGAAACATTTGAAGACGCAGATTCGATTTTGGAGGGGAAAGCGTGTTGCTCTCGATTTTCAAATGGCGAATAAACTGCTTCTTCGGGCGACAGCCAGGTTTGCGCCTTGACAGTTCGATATTTGTGCCTTCCATACGTCTTAATAAGAGCAGGCTTCTTTGACATTTGAAATATGGGGCGATATATTCCTCTTTAAAAACTACAAAAGCTTTTCATTTCGAAGGGAACATCAACTTTGAACAAAACGAATTTCGAATTTTCCGCTCATTTGCATAGTGCAACACTCGCCCTAGTCCTTCTCGTTCAGGTAATCATCTCTACACACAGAGACCATAATGCACCTTGTTTACCACTCAGAATTTTGCATAACCGTTGTCTCCAATTTCTCCTGGGTATTACAGTCGTCCCAAGATGAAATCCAAAACAATGGTTATCCAAAGTTTTGAGAGGGTAAACAAGGAACAATATGGTCTAGGTGAAAATGGTGAATGCTAGAAGCTTACGGTATTTTTTTCACAGCTCCCACAATTTTTCTCTTTTCTTTATTGGTGGCATGGGGAAGGGGGGAGACATTATACACAGATATCATAGAGATATATGGAGGGCACGAACACAGGCTAGGTCGGGCCTTGCTTTCCCTATTCATACACTCTCATTGAACAAATATATCACGAAAAAAAAATGTGAATTAACTTTTGGCCTTTACAGGCGGTATGCGTTGCAGGCGTTTGGGGATTAATGCCTGTCCCTTTCCAACGTCTGCAACGCAGGCTGGACACTATAGTACAATTGAGCCCTTTTTGGCACAAATGTTTGACACAATAAGAAAGGACAAAATGTCCAAAATATACACTCTGTACAAGTTGTTCTTTGTTGAAGAATTTAAGTCAATGGCTAGGACAAGCTGGTATTAGAAGAAGCTCGCATAAAATTCTATACCATGTCATAAGCCCATTACTATACCAGTCATACCTGGTCATGATTATCTGACCCTGTCCCAGTGAGACACACTTAATTGACCTCTATTGACCACGATCACCCCATCCCCCACAATTTTGTGGGGGAGGGGTACACTTGTTGACAGAAATGTCTCATGATCGTATTGTTGGATTTTTGCAAATGGAGGTTATGTTGTTCGTCTTGATTGCAGCTGTTAACCTTATTTCAAACGGCAAAGGTAAGTGATATTCTTATTTAAAATATTCAATTTCACACTGCTGCTTAAAATTAAAATGTGCTAAACATTGTATACTCGATCATGCTAAAACTATATACGAAGCAGTTGTGACAGTTGTAGATTACGTAAGCCGTCTGAGTGAACAGACAAAATAATACTCGATACATTTTTCTTGCTATTCAGAGGTAAGTTTAAAGCATCTACACCGTATAGCCACAAGCCCAATTAGTCTACGACTCATTCTTGCCAGTTAGGGAGTTTTCATCTTGATTTATCCTTTTGGGGGAGGGGGCAGAACCGTTCGAGGTGCCTCCTTGGGACGGTCTTTACAGTTTAAAAATAGTTAATGGGGGTGGGGGGGTATGAAAGTTTTGTTATGTCACGTGGACCCAAATTTTATCAGGACCTTCATTGAAATACCGTCAAACAGCCTTTTCATATCAAGTAGAATGACCAGGGGTAAAATCCTAAATACAGTCGACTCCCGATAACTAGAACCTTCAAGGGAAATCGAAAAGGGTTCGAGTTATCGGGAGTTCGAAGAAAATAACCGAGAGTAACGTAAAAAACAGTTGTTTACTGCACAGTGAAGATTTTGATCACATTTAATCGCCGAAATGTCAAGTAAAAATTAAAAGATACTTCTAGATTATAAATCAGAACGTAACGTAACAAAACATAGCCTAAATACAGCATGCCTTTTACTGTTTTGAGAAGAAAAGCTGCTTCACTGGTTAGCCTAGGCCTGTGACAATCAACATCAGCCTCCACTAGTAAACTATACTCTTACAACACGTCAATAGGAAATCCAAAATTCAATGTTTCGGACGCCCGTAGACGGCTTTTTTCCCGACTTTTTAAGGGCTCAAAACATGGTTCGAGTTATCGAGGATAAAATTATATAGGGTAAAATTACAGTGAATGTATGACGGAAATCCAGGGGAAATCTATTTTGGTTCGAGTGAGGAAGAGGTTCTAGTTAGCGAGGGTTCGAGTTATCGGGAGTCGACTGTATCAGACTTTTAATAAACCCAATAACAATAACAACAACATCAATAATAATAACAATAATAATAATAATTTTAATATTAATGATAATAATGTATTTTACAACACTTCAGCATTTGAGGGCTAGAATCAAAGGTAAAGAACTACGCTACCCATGCACAGACACTGTTATATGGATGTGCTTATGAGCTGAAGGAACACTAACATGACTGCCTGAGCTTCATAGATTTCATTTTCCTTGAAGGTTGAAGCCTGCTGCTTAGAGCCGAGTGAATCTGGAAACTTGTGTACTTAATAGCATTAATAGCAGCGTTACAATGAAGTCACACAATACACTAGCTGACCCTAGCTTAGCGTTAGTAACGTAGGCGCCGGGTTTTTTTTGGCGGGAGGGGGGAGGGGCAGGGGCGAACGGAGAGATTTCGAGGACGTGCGCGCTCGCCAAGGTCGATCGTCACCGCCTGCCCAAAGAGTCAAAAGATCGAACGCTCTTGTTGAAGTAGTGTGAACTGTGGTAAGAGAGAACGTGGCAAAAAAATGTGGTGATGAAGAGGGTCGCTTTGCTTGGCCTGGCCCGCCCCACCTCCAAATCAGGGAAAAGTGCCCAGGAGACGAAGTTGCAACATTTATTACCTTGAACAGGATCTACTCACCAGGAGCTCTCAGGAGGCCTGGGACATAAAATTAACGTACTGTTTTTCCGGCTACTTGCTGTGTTACCGGTTTGGATATTCCGTTGGAAGTTCACCCCACTTTCTTAAATTTCAATTGACCTCAAGTTTTACGCCCTTTGCAGCTGGAAAGTCACGTGGTACAAATCGCAAGAAACACACTAGGGCAAGACTCGCCTGCGTAGCTGGCGGGATCGTCACGGCGCTCGCTTCTCGCGGCTTCATCCCTAAAACGTCACTTGCGAGAGGACGAAAATTCCACCAGCTACGCAGGCTAGGGCAAGACAAACAAAGAGTTTGAAGTCTTATTTGAAATGTACGCAGATCTCAGGACCAGGCGATGGGGCATGAGCATACTGCTTTTGTACCCTTTCCGGCTTAAAGCCTCCGCTGGCTGTGGGCAATTTTTCAAGTTCCCGAAGAAAAATTGACAAATACTTAAAACGGAATACCCGAGTTTGAGCCACACAAGAAAGGACTTTACCAAGGAATTCGATTCCGGTCATTCAGACCACAAGTGACGACATGACTGCGATCGAATGACCCGATTTTGTTCCTACGCAAAAAGGGCTTTCCCGGCTATCCCACACATATAGTGAACCACGATGCAGTGACGAAGATTTCGATCGTTTAAACCTTGTTACTGTTTCCTAATATGGAAATAGTCGGTGGAGACTTTTCCGATATCTTTCACGTGACTTTTTATAATCAGTACTCTGCAACTGTGGTTTCGCCCGAAACTTCCGGTGCATGACCACTTAACTCGCATCACTCAGCATGATTACCTCAATTTCCTTCTCTACATATGTGCCGATATTGTTGATTGCTGCAAACACTGTGAATCAGCGACATTAGGCTACTAAAAAAGTATTTGATAAAAGCCACAGAAAACGCTAATTTCTCAGAGAGACTCGTTGATACACGATGGAGAGCTTTATAATTTTGTTCCTATCCGTGCTGAGTGCATTAACATTTACAAAGGGTAAGTTGAAATAATTAAGTAATGTATTCACCTAAAAACTAGGCAAGCAGATTGCAAAATTGATAACAGTTTACGTTCGATTTTCTCGGTTCTTGATATTCGGGTAAATATTGAAAATAATAATTTATAATGAGCCGAAAGGTAGATGTATATCATGCATGGAAAGATATCTGGGATGACAACAAAGGGGAAGAAGAGAACAAGTACCAACACGCAAATCACAATGACAAATAATAAATAAATTGAATAATCATCTATAGTTTTATTGTGTGCTGAACGTTTTGCCGTTTGACTGACCATTTGCCAGTTAGATTAACTAAACAACCAAGGTTTGTTGTTCTATATTTGTTCACAAGCTTGTCTAATTGTGTAATGCTCTTTTATTTCTAAGTGGACGCCGCTCTTCCATTTAAAGAACAGTGTGTTAAGTGGCACAACGAATTCCGCGCTAAACACCAGGTAATCAAGAGAATATATTTAGAAAAACCATTGTTTTCGCTGAAAAGTTTTTGAATGAAGGTGTAGTTTGAATCATGGTCAACCAGATAATGTCATTCTAAGTGAGCCACTTGCTCGTTTTCACTTTAATTTTCTAGCCTGTTCGAGGAGTTCAGACAGTCTATTCTTCGCCAACTCTCTACGCACTAGTAATCATATGGAAAAGGTTGTCAGTCGAAGTGTCGAGAAAATTCTTAGCCAACCACGATCAAATCTCAAACTTTTGTTCTAGGTTGGTCAAGTCACGTGGAATGATGACCTTGCCAAAGGCGCGGAAGATTGGGCCAAGTACTTAGCAGCTAACAATTTGTTTCAACATGCACCGAATCTTAACGTGGGAGAAAATCTCTACTGGTCTTCACACAAACCAGAAGAGCCTTGCACCAAGGCTACGAAAGCTTTCTACGGAGAAGTTAAATATTATGACTATGATAAGCCGGGATTTTCTCTCAAAACGGGACATTTTACCCAGGTAAGCTTTTGAGACCCGATTATAGGTCAGTGTCGTCTTTTGTTTTACGTATATATTCATGTGATATATGGGACTTACGGGCACTGACTTGTAAACCCGGCTTATAATGTCACGGCTCAATAAAGATCTTCAACCAAGTGTACGGGTAAGGTATTAAAATTTGATTTCAATATTATTTTTGACAAAATCGAAAAGTGAGGTTACAAAAACACAGTGCATAAAATATACACATGGCTATTATGATAAACTTTCAATTTTTGACCAAACGGGGTTCAGAGGGATTAACCTTTTGGCTCTGTACATACGTATAAAATTGTTCTTAGTTTATTTCGTGTGCCGGTGATTTTTTTAATTTTCACAGTTCTATCAGTTTATTTTTGCCATTCTGTTATAACGATAACAAGTGAAGCAAGCTCTCCGGAGCGCTCTGGCGGTGGGGCGGGAAAAGGAAGCTAGCTTGCAACTACGTCTCTGTAATTTGAATTCCACCTCCAGTTCCCCTGTGTCTTCTTATCGACTGAGCTGTCTTAGTTCCTCCAAATCAGAGCGAAGAGGAAACGAGCGCGAACGTAACTTACGTTACGTTAACGTTACGTTTGACTAACATTAAAAAACAGCTGCCAAGGATAATAACGTCATTACTAGTGTCATCTCAGCCAAGCGGCATTTTGCATCGACTTTTTCGATGCAGATGTTCAAATTCCAGAGCTAACGAGACCTAGTTGCAAGCAATCTTTCCCGTCCCGCCGCCAGAGCCTCCCGGAGAGATTGCCCTCAGGTAGCCTGCATAGCAGGCGCTAGGAAATACGCAGGCTAGCCCTCAGGCTAAGTGAGACGGAGAGATCTATCAAATCATAAAACATCATTATGCACATGTACTATTCGTGATGTCATGATGAGTTCTCAAGAGGAGTCAAGCCCATGGAAGCCCGCCCACATTTCCGGCTTAGTTTAAGCTCTGATCACTTGATCACTTCTGATTTCGCAAAACAATCCACTTTAAAGGGGTTATGTCACGAGGATATTGCTGTTTTAGGTCATTACTTAGTGCCATAATACCCATAAACAAAATGCTCCTGTAGAGTTATGAAGTAGATATCAAACAAAAGTTACCAGGAGCATTAACAATAACAATTATGGTTAATAAATTAATATAAATTAAATTAATATAAATTAATTAAAGTTAATTAAGTTTCAATCCATGTGCATCCTTGTCATCTGTAGTAAGAGACGACAGGAAACAGTTTCAATGCCTAGATATCGTCTGAAATAACAACTCTGGACCATTATTTTTGGACTGTTTGGAAGTCAACTGCAGATGCGTAGACACCTCTCAGCTTATCAAAAGGATAGCAAATGGCGCGCCTTAACCTATCTTAAAAGAGCAAGCAAAAACTGAATTCTAAAATTCTAAAAAGTAAGTTGTGAAATGAAATGAAATGAACAGAAGCTTCTGTTCTAACGCTTTTACTGAAGGACAAGCCCACGTGTCTTTCCATCACTCGACTGTGTAAACAACGCAAAAGTTTTGCAAAACCATTTTTGCTCAAAATACGAAATAACAAAGGTTCAAATATTGCCTCTAATACGAAAAGGTGCCCAAGGGTGTTCGAAACGCACGCAAATTAATGCTCCAAAGTCGAAAAAGTGCTCAAACGTTGCCACGCGCAAAGGGGAAAGGCCTATTTTGATTACAAAACTACTCATTCATAATTCTTTACTTAATAATTCTATTGTAGATTGTGTGGAAAAACACAAAACAGATAGGAGCGGCACAAGCAACACGAAGAGATGGATCTTTTGTATTAGTTATCCGCTACTCCCCCCCTGGAAACTTCGTCGGCGAGAAGACATTCAGGGCTAATGTTCTTCCAGTCAGGGAGGGTAATCCCACTAGTTCTCCTGGTTCTACTGGTGCTCCTCCTACTGCTCGTGGGGGAGGTCTTTGTAGCAAGAATTTTCACCTTGGTCTCAAAGCTCTGGTGGGTATTACTTTGGCAGCCATGGCGTTATGGATTTGATTTTAGCGAGTTGGAGAAAGAGGATGATAAAAGCTCCAAGCTAACTGAGCCCATGCTTGTGATGAAGAGGAATAAATATCAGAAAATAATTCCAGCAGGTTTTGATTTAGTGAAGCACACCATACGAATGTACTCTCAAAAGACATTTGAGATTAACGGACTGTTGAAAGTCGTGAAAGAGGAAAGATTGAAAAATGTAAATAAATTTAAACCACATATTTTTTTACCGTTTGTTGAGTTAATTTACAGAGAACAACTTACTTCAGTTAAATTTGGGTGAAAGCAATAAAAAATTAAAAGTTGTCAAAGTTTTTTACTTTGTCTCTGTTGCTGTTAACTACAACTGCGCGAGTCCTCTTCGACTTTCGTAATGCATAAAATAAACCTATGTTCTCACTAAGCCAGATTACCTTTGCGCCGGCACAAAAATCATACCCGATAGGACTTCTCATCACACACAAGAACGGTTGTGGCGGCGTGATTTTTGTGACGGAGCGAAGCTAAGCCGCGCTGATATCGAAAGTGGAAAGTCACACATAGGAGAGTTTTTGTGCCATACTTTGTTGCAGTGTGAACAATTATTCGGCCCGTCGGGGAAGTAAATAAGTTGTAGCGAGGACTGGAACCCACTGTGAAGTAGGTAGGTGCCGCGAAACAGAAAATTTTTACGGTACTGATTCAAGAGTGAATATTGGAATAGCCCATATCTTAAAATTCTGACATGATTCCGAGGCTTTCTGGTCATTTTTCCATACTTGATTTGGTTTTCTTTGTGCTCAAGTCTCTTCCGGGAATTGCAAGTCAATGGAGTCTTGAAAAATTTGCAATTTTGTCCCTACAGCATCGGAGCAATGTTAGAATTTTGATATATCGAACGTGGGTTATTTAGGCAGTGGCACGATGTTCGATGCGTGTGAACGAGTTGTACCGCCTCGAGCCGCTGCTGTTCATACTACACTGGATAGCTTTTCGTGCTGTGAACATAGTCTTCATCTCATAGAGCAATTTTCAATTGAGTGTTGAAAGTAATCCAGGATTGAATTGGTTTTGCTTTACTGTGCTGTTTGATTGGTCTAGAAAACTCGCGCCATCCTCTCAGCCAATCAGATGTAAACTAAAACCAATCGCTCCTTGGTCACTCGCGTTTTCCCGCGCTACAGGCCGGTTACACGCGTTTACTTCGAGTTGCCATTGGCTCCCTCTGATAATTTCCTTTACTCTGATTGGCCGTTGTGATTACTTTGGTTTTGGTTTTCGACACTCAATTGAAAAGCGCTCTAAATGTTATCTTTGGAACGTTATTCATATCAGTTTAATAAGGGTACTATCCCTCTCCCCTTTTACCCGTGCTTTCTCCCTACCCACCACCCCTCAGGGAAAAACGTAATTCATATCAGTTTTAATAATAAGGGTACTATCCCCCTCCCCGTTTATTTGTGCTTTCTCGCTTTCTTTTCACTCTACCCATGACCCCTAGGTCAAAAAGCCATGAAAAGGTAAAACTCCGAAAAACAATTGTATAGCACCCTTCTTACATCAAGTGGTATAAACATTTTGGCATCCTTTCTTAAAAGTCGCTGAAATATTTCAGTGTGGAGTCTCGAAAGGACATTCCAGCTTGTACTGAATTCATCCATTTATTATTTCTGTACCAGCTTTCAAAGCAAATTAATAAAAGCAGTATTGGACAGTGAATTATTTTCAAATGATGTGACCATACATTAAGCGTTTTTAAACTGCTTGACTGATGCAGTTAGGATATCACTCGAAGGGATTTCGTATCTACTTCTAAAGCGTGCTTTAAGTTAGCTGAGTACTATAAATTGCTGATTTTTGCTTAATACTAATGAAGATTACTGAACGTATTTATTTAGTTTGTTTTCTTGAGCTACTGTAATTGCCCATTCATCTTCGAAAAGATGACGACCTGGTCCTACAGTCTTCTTTCTTCTCCATCGACCTCATATCTGTTTCTTTCTGCAGAGCTGCGTAAAGATTCAAGATTCTGTCTTCTCCACTTGATTCTTCTGTTCTGAAACCAAACTTTTACCTGCGTTTCATTGAGGCCTAGATCAGCGGCGAGATAGAACCTTTGCGTGCCCACTATGTATTGCTGCCGATCAAACTCCTTTTCTAGTCGCTCTAGCTGATCTGCTGTGAAGATTGTGCGGTTGCGCTTCGGTTTGCAGCCAGCTTCGATCTTCCAGTCTCTCTGTACCCTCATGCAGCTTTCTGAAAAAAAAAGGCAAACTCAATAGCTTGCTACCTTTGTAGTCATGCAGCATGCGTTATTTCATTATTTTTCTATCACTGTCTCCCAGTCACAGTTGAGTAAAAATTAAAGACTTAATTAAAACTTAAAAACATTGACGCGGGAAGTGAAAGATAAATTCAAACGTATCGCGCTTGGTCTTCTAAAAGTTAAAAAAACATGGTCAACGTTTAACGTAGGGATGTAAGATGGGTCAGCCGCGGTTTTCAACTTTTAGAACAAGCAATCTGAAAAAGAGTTATAATGGTTGAACAGAATATTGAGTTGAAATCACCCTCGCGCAGTTACAAGGGATCGACGTTTGACAAAACATTTGAAAAAATCGTCTACTGAAAAGATCAAGAACTAGCAATGTAAAACATGCATTATAAAGCCTTTAAAAGAGAGAAAGGGACCCCGGCACTTGGAAACAAAGTGAGTTAAGAAATGTAATTGTACCATCTGAAGAGATGCGTGCTCAAAGAGTTCCTCAACTAGCCACAAACGTCGCTTCCCAGCGCGGGCCAGTATGATTCTTCCTTGGTTGACTGATATACTTACCAGCCTTATATGAGGTACGCAACGGACCTTCCGCGTCAATACCATTAGGGTGGGAAATTTCACATGACTGCGTTTGGCCTTTTTGCGTGGAGGGGAAAATGAAGCGGTAACCACCTTCTCGGTAAGCACTGAACCTTAGCGGATGAGGAACTTGGTCAACTGAGTTTGCTCTGTCCGGTAAAAAGGCTTCATTCTTTGGAATCAAAGAGGGATACAAACTTCTATATTCTTGAAGTTTGTGTGGCTGATTTTGATAACACTCTTTGGTACAGCAGGGGAGGAAAATATAGCCGTGATAATAACGCTCTGATTCTTTGAAGTCCATTTCTTTAGTTTCTTCACTAGCTGCCGTCCTTAAATCCAACTTAAGACCAACTAGGATTTTATTAAAAAAAATCAAAGATCGACGCGATAAATATGTCGTAATTACACATTAATGGGGGAAATAAAAAAGCAATTACGCATCGTTATGACCTGTCGGCAGAAGTACCATGGGCTATAAAATCGAAAATATGACTCTGTTAGATACGCGATCAGATAATTTAGGTCTGTAATTATAACACAACTTCAGATGTCTTACAGATATAAACCTGCATCTGCCTTATTGCTGACGTAATTACCCGCTTGTTACACAAAAGATTTCTGACAACTAGAAAGGCATTAGTCACTGAAATAAAGCTATTTCTAAAAAGGGGTTTTGTTTCAAGTAATCGATCGCCTTTTTGTTATTAAAAGCTCCTTTCTTTCTGGGTCTATTTGACGATTTGTCTCCACAGGAACAAATTATATAAATTATATATTAGTTAGTTTCATTTTCTCATGTTTTCACAGTTTAACAGGTAAACAATAATTAAGTTGATGTTATACCTGCGCTAAGAGGTTTTTTAGGGACATTAAGTATAGCCTTAAGCAAGCAATTTAGGTTTAAAGCCCTTTGGAGAACAATGATTGCCTCTTTAGGAAACCATCTTAAGAATATAACAACATCTGTACTTTTAAAAACTGGAAGAAACTTTGTAAGTTTATTTTTTTCGTCTTTAGTTAATACGTAGGCGTTTTTCAGAGTAGGGGGAAATTAAGACGTTTAGTTGGTTATCATTTGAAGTGATAAAAGACTAATAATTTTCCATCCTGTTTTCGCTGATATTCTTGTCTCCTGTAAACAAATCTTGCAAGCAATTCCGCACGTTCACACGATTTCTTTCTATTCCTTAAATTGTACAGTTCAACACGGTACACCTGTTACACAAAATGACTCTTCGTCCGAAAAAACCTTTTATGTCCGTAACGCTTCTTCTTTGTTTATTTTATCTTATGGCACATTTTTACCACAAATGGCAGACATGGATTCATAATATCTATTATTTTTATTATTATTTCTCTGAAATTAAATTGTTTTAACATATTTGTTTCAATATGTTTTAACATATTTTGTTTTTCCTCTGTTTTGCAAGGCGTATGATAAAAAAGTCTAGAGACCCTGCCGTGCTAGGAAACATTGACGGTTTAAAATTCAAGAAATTTCAAAACTTTGTTTTCATTATTAAAACGCTTTCTAAGTAAAAACAGATTGAATGATGAGATGGCTAGATCAAAGCTTATTTGACAGGTCTGATCGAACGACTGAATGGTCCAGTTTACCCTTTCCACTGATCCACAGCTTTCAAACCCAATTTTTAGTATTTATTTTCCAAATAAAAGCAAGTAAAATAAGTATTTATTTTTGTATTTTTTAATATTTCTTAACGTGATATGTGGAATCAGACTGAAACCGCGAAAATGAAGGGTCTGAAGAAGTGAAATAAAATGCAATCAACACTTGAAACTTTAGAGGCCTTCTTCTTTTATCTACTCAATTAAATATGGCTTAACCAGGCCCCAGTTTTTTAAAAAGTGAATAGCGCTATTAACTGAATAAATCCCTCTGGGGTGGATAACATATAGATTAGTTTCCCTAATTCTCATCTCATCCACTGGTTAGTAATTTATCCGCGCGCAGTGGACAGCGCTACCCAGCTTTTGAACAACTGGGCCCTACTGGTTTATTTCATTTGAGTCATCATAGTGCAGTTATCCTGCGAAGAGGACTGAACCGGGAGATAAAGAAATAGGTTTGCAGCAGTGGATAATACGGAAACTTTTTGTAGGTTATATGAAATCCTTTGTTGTTTGAAGGTATCAGCTAGACGTCACTGTTTTCTGCAGAGGAGTTTTGATATTGTTTACAAATCGTAGAGGTGCTGTCCGTGAAATTATCAAAAATATGCTCCATTTCATGGCGTTGACGACCGTTTTTTAATAACCTCAATGCTGTATAAACCATGGCCTTGAATCAAAGGGTGACCACTCCTGAGAACCCGTGTTCTCTTCAGACTTCATGCAGTTCAGTTCAGTTCATTTTTATTTAGTCAAAATATGAGGCAATACAGGAATACCTATAGGAATTGCAAGTTGGCAAGGGAGCCCAGAAGAAACCAGAAGGCTTATAAAGCCTGGGCTCCCCAGTCACAAAGAACTAAGTAAAATGAAATTCGCGGAGTGATACGTTAAAAATAGGAAATAAACAGAGACTGAGTTAAGTTATGAATTCAGTAACAAGATAGAAAAAAGAGTTTTCAACTCTGGATTGAAACGAATACAAGCAGAAGGCATCCCGAATGTAAGACTGGTTCCGTGGAATTCGTTAACTGTCAGGACCTATCTATAATTATTACTGTATTTGTTATAAACTCGAATGTACAAGGACAGAAAACATCGAATGCTCTCGACCACAATGACTGTTGTTACAACATATAAATAACCTGGAGGTATATAAAGAAAGAAATAATGGATCGACTTCTAGCTTCAATTTACTTTTGATTGTAACTGGACTATACTACGATTATTCAACTTTTACCAGTAATAATTAAATGAATTAGTGTCGTTATTTCACCTGATAGACTTGTAAAGAGGTGAAAGGGGTTTAAACTCAAGGGAAACGAATACATAGGATTGACCTACACGTAATAAAGATCACGAGAAATTTCACGAGCAGGACTACCTCTGCCAATAATAAAATAAAACTTTAGTTTTCGTGATACAATCTTTTTTAAAGTCGAGAAAGCGGCCTCAAGCAAGGCAAGTTATTAATTATAAATTGAGATTTTTTGGTCAATAAAACGAAGAAGCCAAGACAGTGGAAAGAAGGCTTATTGTTTGCGTAATGTATAATGAAATAAAATGTTCACATTTTCATCGTCGACTGTCGAATTACATTCATAAAATGGACAAGTTTTGCTTTTAATCCACGACTCCTGAATTTACAAATGTAGTGGTTATCATGGGTTATGTATTAATTAGTTACATAACTTAATCACCGTAACTAACAAAACGTGTTAAACGTGTGGAATCACTTTTATGAAAGTCCGAGCTCTTGCATCCCTAATAACATCAGCTGTAAGTACTACTCTTTTGTGTCTGACAAATCATTCTTTCTGCTGAATTTAAAGTGATTAAAAGTAATTTTGCTATTCAGATTTTTGACAAATAACTAGAAGCAGCGTAGTCTATTCATAATTAATCGAATCTTTCAAAGACAAATTCTCGACTTAATAGGGAGTGCATTATGATTATTACGAACTGAAGGTATTATATGTAGCTGAAGAAGGTTTTTTTTTGCGATAATGATGGGAACTTTCTTTCTTTTATACCTTCTCCTTTTGCTCCAAAAGGTATGTCTTACTTTACAGCAGTTAGTTCCATTCTTTACCGGATTAAGGTAACTTTCCGCTTTTTTTGCTATTTAGGAATATTTTATCAGAGCTTCTGAAGCTGCAGGTATGTAGGAAATCTGCTTTATTGTAACTTCGTTTTCGGGCAAGAGACGCCCAATTTCACTCTTTGTTTCATTTAAATCTGAGTTCTGACTCACATATAGTCTAAAAATGGTGGGGTTAACCAAACGACAAACCATCGATGTTAATTTAAAAACAGCTACGACTTGTAAAGCTATATTCGAGGATTAGCACTGTAACCCAACAAATAAAGGTGTTTTTCTTGTAGCTGAATTTAGCGAATTTAAACACTATAACCGTAATTTTAACACCTTTTAAAGGAAATTGCGAGTAGCCTTCTACGTATAGCTAAATATCGTTTTAGTGAAGATTATATATTTTAGTAAGGGAATATCACCACTGCATTTTAAAGATCCTTTCGCATTTTGGATTGACCTGATAAATCATACCCCCTAACGAAATTGTTTCCCCTAAGCGAAAGGCAAATTCAAAATATCTCTAATCGGATTGAGGCGACGTTTTACCAATAAACTGTTTCCAGTTGTTAACCTACTTAATTTCGATCATGTTCTGGGGGTCGCCTTGCTTTGACGTTAGAAAATTAGGATCTTTGGTGACTGGAATATTTCTTGGTCGCGGGTTTTTATCATAATTATGTCTGAGACATTGCCAGTTTGTGGGTGCTATTAAAACAACTCACTAGACTGAAATACAGTCAAACCTTTATGGCGACCATCTCCCATACGTCAGGACCACAAAACTAGAGCACTAAACATTTTCCGAGCCAAAGCTTAATAGTTCAAATCCTTTCATAAACGACCACGCCCCGTGAGAGGTTCGACTGTAGACATTATTAAACTGACTCACCGTATTTCTCAATTAATTACGCTCGGCTGGTGTTTAATTCAAACTTGGTCTTGTGAACCGGGCGTTTGTTTCAATCTGCAGTTTGTTCTAGAGAAAAGCTTTTTCGGTCATTTTTCTTGACAAACGTGTATCTTGTCTTTACACCCTAAGTCAGTGCTACAAATAAACGGCTGAAGGGTTTCGTCACAACATTCACTTCAAGATCTGGTGTTTATTCGAAGACCGGCGTTTAATTGAGAAAATACGGTTATAGACGGAAATGCTGAAAAAAGGATCAGTGTTTCAAGACAAATTCGCTTTGATAAGTCAGATATCTTTTAAGTTTTGTTTTCATTATTTTTAAGACGAATGCAACACTCCTCTTGGCATGGAAGACAAGACCATTTCAGATTCGGATCTTACTGCCTCCTCGGAGTATCCTGGCTTGGACCATGGTCCTCGTCTCGCCAGGCTAAACTTAGTGAGGTCGGACTATTATCAGTACGTGGGCGCTTGGAGTGCTCATTACAAAATCGTAGGGGAATGGATTCAGGTATCGGTGCTGCTTGAAAAGTGAAACGGTACTCAATTAAGAGCAAGCTCTTTTTATAGTGAACTTGATATTTGTATATGATAGTTATTGAGGTAATGTAGAAAGTGATTATCTGAGTTTTTACTGTCGAACAAAGTGAAGATAACGTCAATCGGAACCAAATAGGAGGGCGAGCGTTGTTGTTTCAATTGCACCGACTTCTCCTCAAAATCATGACACATAAAGATATTGGCCAAAACAGGGCCCTTCCTGTTTTGGCCAATATCTTTATGTGTAATTTTGAGGAGGAATAGGTGTAAAACAACTACGATCGCCAGCTATCGCCCTTCTATTTGGTTCCGATACGTTGACGATATACATTCACTTTGATCGACAGCAAAAACGCAGCAAATCAGTTTCTACAAAGCTCTTTTTAAGTTCATATTTTTTTCCGTACACCCAAGCATCAACTGGTAGGAGCTGTAAATTTGTGTAAATAGCAGACAGAATGTAATCCTTCTTTCAGTTTTTTCTCTTGAAAAAATGAGCATGAGCGACTTTCACGGTTTCAAGCCCTTTAGTGATTTTGTTTTCAAGGTGCAACCTGAATTAAGCGAATTTATTATAAAGAAACTTGTGTTTTTTTTGTTTTTATTTTTTACCCTTTGTCTGAAGAGCGCAAAGATTTCCATTTCTAAACAAGAGCGCCCTCTTATTTCTGATAGATTAATTTACGAAAGATCACCAAGGTGACAGCAATCGCCACACAAGGAAGACAGGACACCAATCAATGGGTGACGTCATACACTATTTGCCACGGTCAAAAACTAGATGGGTTCTGTCAGCCACTAAATGAGGTAACTAAAATGATTAAAAGTTAACACCCTTTAATCGGTTTTGCATGCAATCTGCCTGCCTAGTTTTACCGCGGACCATTACTTAATACAAAATCTGACCTTTTTATCAAGGGTAAATGAAGTAAACTATGCTTATTAAACAGAGAATGTATGAATGAATAATGAACTATAATTCAGAGGCACTGAAGATTCATAAAATTTACATATGCTCAGCGTTAAATTTTTATAAGTGATTAGGGCCGCATGAAAACGCTAAAAATTGAACACAAAATTCATCGGTATTGATCCTAATTCCCCCACAACATTCTTCAGCACCTTTCTTAAATTTGTTTTCGACCCCAAAAAATTTCTGGATCATTTGATTTCACCATAATCAAGTTCTTTTTCCAATTTTTAGATCCTAATTTACCACCCATCTTTCCTTTTCTACAGTTTTCGAACTTCTCAAACAGATCTTGATATTTTTCAGCTTTCTCATCTTCCTTTTCTTTTCCCGGTCCATCCTCAGGAATTGCCACTTCCATATTTTGACAGCTCTTGTCTCTCTTGAAAATGATCACCAAATCTAGTCTCCTGGCGCCCAATTTCATGGTCTGGTGGGATACTGAAGTCCCACAAATGTTTTAAATCGTCATTTTCACTGAGCACAATTTCCGGGACATGGTCATAACACCTTTCATTTCTCTCAACCCACACTTTCCTGCCAGATCCCAATGGATGGCTATAGCCACATTGTCAAGTCTCCTCTTGTATTCTTTTTGTGCCAGTGTCGCACATGAACTTACAATATGGCTGATGATGATGATTCACTATTGCAATAAACAGGAGTAATCAAGCCTCGGAGATATTTTTAGAAGAGCACTATTTCAAATTCAAACAGAGATTTGGTGATAACATTTAATTGTTTGAATCTTACTAGGTATTCGAGGGAAACGCTGACCGAAACACTGTTGTTTCTAGAACTTTCACGAGGCCTATCTTCGCTCGATTTCTAAGAGTGTTTCCTTTAACATGGTATGGACACAATTCTATGCGGCTTGAGCTTTATGGTTGTAGGCAAGGTAAGGCACTTACCGGCTGTCCCTTTACTGTGTTATATAAACGCCTTTTTCAATAAAATCTTTTAAACGTTGTGTTTCTTTTTGGTTGACTTAATTGGGTGGCCAGATAGCCAGATCAAAGTAGCTGAAATTTCCTAAGTTACACCACACTGCATGCTACTTTAGATAGAAAGTTTCTGATTAGCAAGCTTCGATTTGCACATGCCACGGAAAGACTCAGCAGAGATTGCCTCAAGGAAAACCCTGAAGACTGACTCAGTCTTGTAAAAATTGAAGTTACCATGCCAGTGCACAAAAACGTGTCCTTCACCCGAAGTCATGAGAAGGAAGACTGAGGACCCTGAACTTGAGAAAGTCCATCGGACCTTTGTTTTCTGGCACTGCTTTTAAAAGCTAGAAAGGAGCTATGACACCATTTTTTTGGTAGAACGTCAATTAAAACCATATAAAATCACTTTGAAATAAAAAAAACCCTAAAATAATTGCTCAGTTCTATTTCTAGTTGTATTCTACTACTAGTATCATAAGAGTTTGATGGTTGGTGTGGATTGCAACTTGAAGAAAAATTGGGCCTAATTTTCAAGCTAAATTAAAGTGTTATCAATAAGTGACAAAAAACAGAACATGCATGCTTCCCTTTGATAAAATCGTTTAATATTTTTCTATTCCAAAGCCATTGATTATGGTATGCCCCCCACCTAGGAGAACGAATTGGTGTTTTACTACTGCTCTTTATTTTAGAATCGAATTTTGTGCATCACTGTGAGTGTACTTTCATATATTTATATCTCCAATTATCTATAAAAAAGCTTGGCGAATTCTCTCAGTGATATTGCTTTAACAGTCCCTTTTCGCGGGAAAAATCTTTACATCCGCCCTCTCAGTACACTTGTTGTGTCACTAGGCTTGGGCTTCTTGCCAAGCGAGGTGAACGCCGGTCTCGCGCACGTCGGGCAAAATGTCGCGTTCGCCTTGTGACTTGGCTCATAAAGCGCCTGTTTTGCAGACTACGTAACCTATTAAAACAAGTAAAAAGAACGTGACGAAAACAAAAGATTCCTCGAATGTTTTTATGAATTGTATGCTGGAAATAAATCCACCCTATAGAGCATTTCACGGGGGTGCTTGCAAAATAAAAAATATTCGTAACGTTAGTCTTAAGCAGGTGTACCTTTTATTTTGACTAGCCAGTTATCCTCTCAAAAACGTGTGTAATATTTACGTCTACTATAAATTTTATCAAGTGCCCCTGGTTCCTTTGATTATCTTCACTACGTGCTGTTGGTTGTAGCGCCCACTCCTTTTTCGCATCTCACAAACTGCTACTTAATTTCATTGTCTTTTGTAATTTAAGGTTTCACGCCAGCTGTTGGCCCTATGTGCATGGATAGCCTCGGGATGGAAACGAACAAAATTCCAGATTCTGATATTACGGCTTCTTCACGGCATTCTACATATAAGCCAGCCTTTGCCAGGTTTGCTATTTGCAAATTTCTTTGGATTTAATTTGTTTGTTCCATAAAAGCGGCAGGGGATGTTACCTCATCAACACAGAACAAAACTGCAGCGAGTGTTGAATTAAAATCACGCTGGAATTGAAATAGTAAGCTGTATTGGTTTTGATTCTTGCTTTAATATTTATTGCTAGCGGAGGTAGCGTGACCGAGCGGTTAGAGCGCTGTTAATATTCGGAGGCCCCGAGTCCAAATTTAGTTAGTAGTAGTAGCAGTAAAATTTTGTAGTTTAGTAGTTTAAGCCAGAAAATGTAGTGTTTTCATTGTGAAACACACGTCAGCAGCACGTGCTTGTCAAAAAACCATTCATATTAAATGAATTTGCGAGGGCAAGCGCCTAACACCGATGTCAAAGTTGTTTAAACGTGACCAAAAGCAAAATTTACGTTGAATGAAAGAAAAAAGAGCTCATCAGAACCAAATCCAATATCATCCAGTAACTTCCTTGATACGAAGTGGACAGGGATAACTGGGGCTGTAGATCGCAGATTTTGGTCTTACTTGGGATTCTGATGGGATGGTAAGGATGGAAAGCCAATAACTGCGAGAGAGCGAAATGCGAGCCCGCAGACTATTCTTGGTCAGTGGCACTTAATAAACTGCACAGCGAGGTTCTTCCAAAATATGTCCACATTCTTGGGATGTCCGTGTTCTGCGTACTAACATGCATGGTATGTGGCCGCAAAGGCCCTGGTGAATGCAAATGCAAGTGATGCAAGATGCAATGAGCATAGAGTTCTAAAGTGATGACGTCATAAAAATTAAATTTGTGAAATTATAGATTCAATTTTTGAAGCAAGGACCAGCTTACAAAAAAGAAGGACCGGGTCCTAATAAAGGATCTAATCAGCAATAAGTGAAAATATAAAACAAAAGAAGCAAGGCTGATTTTACAGTCGGGAATATATATATCTTTTTTACAAATATTTCGGAAGGCACGGCCTTCCTTCGTCAGGGTCTTATATATACGTAAGACCCTGAAGAAGGAAGGCCGTGCCTTGCGAAATATTGTATATATTCCGGACTGTAAAATCAGCCTTACTTCTTTTGTGAAATTATAGGATTTGTCAGGACATTCTGAAAGAACAACGTCCAAGAGGCCTACTTGCCAAACATTAACATTTTAGGGCAAATTGTCCCTGAGATATCAGCTCAGTTATGCTCTGATGACTCCATTCAAATCCTTTTTGATTTGACTAGGGCCATAACGTTCTGACCCGAATCAAATTTAGAAGGATTTGTATGGAGTCATCAGGGCAGTAAGGAGCTAATATCTCAGAGACAATTTGCCACACAATGCTAGTTTTTGGCAAGTAGGCCTCTTGGATGTTGTTCTTTCAGAGTATCCTGACAAATCTCATAATTTCACAAATTTAATTTTTATGACGTCACACTCTAGAACTTTATTGTTCGATTCGCAAACGTACGTAATTCAGGTACACATTTACACGTACTGTACTACTAAATGCGAGACTTTTCGATTCTCCTTGCCCGTCAGAGCATGACCTCAGCTTAGCGCGGAACGAGTCTTCGGTAAGATACGGGTGTTAGCAAAGTCTAGAGATACACTACAGTGCATGGTTTTTACATTTTTATACGTTTCCCAGCATGTTACGTCGCTTGTCATCTGAAAGCTTCAATAAGCTTTAAATGACACTGGTAAACTAAGCTTTTGCTTTGGTTTCTATTGCATCTCAACGGCCTTTGGTCATTGAACACGGATTGAATTAAAAGACTTCGTGCAGTCGTATCACTGTATACACTTCAGGTTGTAGAGTTGTTATGTCACGCATTACTGTTTTCATTGTATCTTTCTGCCTGCGAATACAGCCCTCTCTCCTCGTTCCCCACCATTCGCAGGCTAATTGTGTCTAAGCAACTGTGAATAACATCTTTGAATTAAAAATGAGTCTTGTTTACTGTGTTGTTCAATTTACCTTCCACGTTCATGACCTACCGCGATTCTTTTTGTTGACACTGGAACTAAAAGGGCTTTCTCTGATTGACGTAGGCAATTATGAAAGCGGTTCTCATCAATTACATCTTTAAGGTAAACGGGGGGGGGGGGGCACTTGGGTACTTTTTGGGCGGGTATGTGCCGCCCGGGACTCCAAATTGGCACCCCGTTCTAGAAAAAATTTCCCCTAAAATTGACACCCCGTTCTAGAAATGGGCCAATTTTTTATACTCCGTTCTAGAATTCGCCCTAAAACTGATACCCCGTTCTAGAAATGAGCCAATTTTTTATACTCCGTTCTAGGGGGCAACAAGAGTACAACGGTTTGCTTGTTAACGCACTGAGCCGTATTTTTAAAAGCAATCTGTCCTTGAATAATTTCAAATGGCTGCTTACAAAAGTGGAGCTTTGATGCGTTCGAAATATTATACCTCGTTCTAGAAAACGCCTCTGAAATGGATACCCCGTTCTAAATCAGGAGCTTCAAAATCACGACCCCTTTGGGCGGCACATACCCGTATAGGTAATGTATGGGAGTACCCCCGGGGCCCGCACTTCCTAACTGTAGTATTTCTAACGGGCCACCGAGGCCATGTAGTCTGGTAAACACGAGCACTACTTAGCTCACCGCTTCTCACCGCTACAGTACGAGACACAACTCCGTCAAGTCACTTGTCCCCAGACTTTCCGCGCTAGGGAAGTCCCGGATGTAATCTACACGAACCGTCGGTTATTGCTAGTTTAACTCATATGCGTATGTATATTCAAGTTGTACTTAAAGAGATATATATCCGTTGTTTAGGTTACACAGTCATACCTTCTGGGCCGCCGGAAGTAACGACGTACTCCAGTGGATTCAGGTAAAATTCGGACAAAGAGTTATTATCAGAGCTGTGTCTACACAGGGACGACACACAAGTAACCAGTGGGTGAAGAGCTACTCTTTGAATTATTCGTCAGATGGATTGTCTTTCAGGCGGTATCAAACTAATAAGCACTTAACGGTTAGTATCTTTCAAACATTCTACCATGTTTTAATTATGGGCGGCTTCCGGCTTTTTCCCTTTCGCAAGAAGGCATTGATCATAAGGTCCTAGATATGTTCACTTAAGTGTCGTTTATGCAACAGAAATTGCGGGTGTTGTATAGCACGTAAATTTACGGGACCTATGTAGGTCCCGTATCGTTACTGTTTTTACTAAATTTAACGAGATCTTTTACTGAGAGTGAAAAAAAGTAATTTTTCCTCACGTAATTCGTAGTAATGCGCTTTGTTAACCTTTTATCTGCACTTTAAAGCCGACTTTGTGAAAAAAGAAGAAGAATTATCATTTCCAGTAGACATTGAAGAAAAAGTAACGATTGCATGCAAATTTCATTTTTTTGAGAGGCTTAAACGTGTTCGAAACGACTTAAAAATTTCTTTACACTCACCGATGGTTAGCTTAAAAAAAAAAGAGTGAGTCATTAATAAAGTACTATATCAAGGTTACGTGTGCCCTTAAGTGAGCCCGTAAGTTACCACGTAAAACAGAAAATTACCAGAGTGCTAAGTGCGTTCCATACAACACCCGTAAGTGTACCCATAACGGATTCGTAAGTGACCTACTTAAGTGGGCACTTAAGTGTAGGTTTTATGCAACCGGGCCCAGATCTGTAAGATCTGGGTAGTGCCTCTGATTGGATGAAGCAAATTTTTAGCCAAAGAATTACCGAGATCTTGGTAGTGACGCGTCATCAGTAGTATGGAATTTCTTCTCCCTCTCTTCAGACGTCGTTTCACGGGTGCACCAGAGGCGGGTGTCGCGAAATGCCGGCTGTTTTATTAGGCTTAGAAGTTTCTAGAAAAACAGTATTTTCCAGGTGAAGGCTAGATATTTACCATTTTACCTTTTAAGACCTTTTTAACAAAGGTGCGTTCGTAAAGCAAGCAAACTACCGTTGAGGAAATGTAGAAAGATCCGTTTAATTTGATTAAATAAAAGTTCTATTACATCTCTCGCTGTCTCGCTCAAAAACGCGCGAATTTAAAGTGACTCTGAACCCAAACCTTGGAAATTGGCAAAATTTAAGTGTCGCGAAATATGAGAACCATCTAATTCTAACTCTAATCGTATAATCTGTAAAGGGTATATCCCATTACGGCAGATGAAATCAAATCAAATCGCGAAATTAACGTGTCGCCAAAATTTCATGTATTATTGCCATTTATTATTCATTCCCAATATTTCGCCCTTCCTATATCATATCCTATATCATATCTGATATAGACAAGGCTAAACTTTACATCCAATTTCTTAGACCAAAATAACCCCAAATCTAAATATTAGTGCAAGAATGAGTTGATCTACATAAGAAGATTTTAAATAAGACTCTGAGTGGTCGCCTACGAGAGCTTAAAAACAAAAGAAAAGTCCAGTTGGGTAATCCTAAAAGTGGTCGCGGTCGCTTACGAGAACTTATCATTACAAATAAGTCCCAGTTCAAATGGGGTTTCACAAACGTGGTCGTAACTAGACCTTCGACTGTAATTCTTCACATCATACTCAATCTCATTCAACAATAGTTAAGTTTCAGCTACTTCTACGGAATTTTTTTAGATATTGGTTGGCAATACAGATAGAGGGACCGTGGTTACCAATCTACTCAATCCACCAATCACCGCCCTCTATATCCGTTTACTTCCTGTCACGTGGAACAATAACATTTCGATGAGAATGGACTTCTATGGCTGCATTCCAGGTAAAATAACAAATGAGAAACGTTAGAAAGGTCAGCTGAAACATGGCTGTGCTAATCACAAATACCGTCAAAAACGGAGAACAAAATAATTATATTCAGCCAGCCGTAAACGCCTTGTTCTCAAAACGGTATGACGTCTGCTGATGTAAAACTGAACAAAGAAAACACGAACTATGTAATTTCTGACGAATGAGAGACCTTGAAACCAAAAGAGGATAATGTTAAAAAGAGGGAAACGCCCAGTCTAGCCCTTGGGATACGTAAATTTTTCTTGATGGGAAAAATTTGACGGCCTGGTTTAGAAGCGCACGAGTTTTTGTGGGATTCCTCAGTCGTTGTGATTGCTTTCGTTTTGTTTTGCAAAGTGTCCTCTTCGATAGTTTACGTTGTTAGAAATTCAGAACTGTATGTTTTTGGAGAAGCCTTTCTTATGTCAATTACGCCTCCTTTGGAAATTAGTTTCATTAATTCTTAATTAGTCTCAGTATGTATACACGTATTCAGAGTTTAATGCTTTTTGCTTGAAATCTTCCCCTAGGTTTCGTGCTAATAATTATCAGTAGGGGAACCCGTTTCCTCGTATTATTTGGCCACTTTTCAAGGATGATTTAATAGTGCTTTTTCTATTATCCAGTATCAAAAACAAATGGAAAAGACAGGCGTTATTCACGTAAACTAGTTTGCTATATGCTATCGTAATAAATCAAATATAACAACGACTAATCTTGCTGCTGGCGTGGGTCTTTCTGTTGTTAATTGGGAGCGAGGTTGCCTAGAATCTTTACAGTTCTACATTTTCTTGTAACAACGTCGCGATCGAGCGCCTTGCTACAACGGGCGGTCATTTTGGTTTTTAAGGACCTGTTTAGATGGAGGTGGGGGACCCCAGGTAGGTGAGGTAACCCCCTTAGGTGGGGTAACTCGCCTGTCCATATAATCTCTAATTTAAATGTGATCACGTTTACATGTTAGGTGGGGTGACCCGCCACATGTTATCTCACCTACCTGGGGTCCCCGGCCTTCATGTAAACAGGCCCTTAAATGTACCTTAGGGAGGGAAAAAACCTCGTCCCCGGGGTTTTCAGAAGTTTAGATTCTTGTTAATGATGTAAACTGATTAGTATTTTCAAACAATACCAATATAGATTTCCTTTCATGTCGCATAGCTCTTATGCAGATGATGGAGAGCTCCTTGCTCCGAAATAAAACCGCATTAAAAATAAAAGATAAATACTGATATTGATATTTATGAGGGGAGCCCCTTTCATGATGATAATAAAAATGATAGTCAAAGAGATAATGATTACGATGATGATAGTGATGATGATGATGATGATGATAATAATAATAACAATAACAATAATAATAATAGTAAAAGCTCATGTGGAGCATATTCTTTTCAGATCCACCCATTCCAACAGCTTTGTATCCACTGAACGGAAAATTCGGTACCCACGACTTGAGCTCCAGTCAAAATTCAGCAGGCATTGCCTCTGATGTTCAGCTCGCTCCAGGTCCTTATGGCGAGCCAGATGGCTCGTACCAGTTCTCAGGAAATTCATCCAGCTACATCGAGTTTCCAAACAATGGAGGACTGGACACGAGAAAGTCACTTACTCTTCTTGCTTGGGTGTATCCTGAAAATGGTGACGGTCCGATCTGGAATTATTATAAAGGTAGTAGCTGGGCTGTTCACTTCTGGATCACTATAGATAAGCTGTTTGCTCGCATTGTATCAAGAGATGGTGTTTCGCAACCAGCTTTTACAAGCAAAACATGGTCACGTAACAAGTGGTATTTTGTTGGTACGTCATATGATTATGACTCTGGGGTGCATAAACTTTGGATCGATGGCAAAGTATATGACAGACAAGATATTGGTTCAATGGAGATAGATACCATGGGAACCGCCAGAATGGGTGTGAAATCGGGAGATAATAGATTTTTTAAGGGAAGAATATGTTGCATGCAAGTGTATAACAAATCTTTGACAGAAAATGAAGTTCATGCTGCCAAAGGAATTTGCAGGAAAAAAGGTTAGCACCGCATGACTACTTTCACATATCACATACATTCATGCCCACACCCTCTCCTCCCTCATGCTGCGTCCGCGTTACCAACTTTAGTGTGCTCAGTCGTGTCATTCAGAGAAATCTGCAATAAAATTAAGCGTCTTTATATATGCTACCATCATTTTTACAATTCATTGGAGACAAAGAATGGTGGGATGAAATTATAGGGAGAAGAATAGGCTTACGAATTGGCTTGTGTAATGAATAATGAAACCATGGTCCGAATGTGTTTTAACCTTACCACCGTTTCCCTCCCCCTTCCCACACAGAAAAACAAGTTACATTTAAACACAAATGTTTTAAACTGATAGATAAAAAGCACCCTCAGTATACTGTAATTAGCTTTCCTTTGATTGCTACATGGTTTTGATAGCGCGACACTCCCATCAGCGACGACTAAATCTTTCCTTAAATTTCTGAAAACAGTAACAAAATACGCTCAAACTCAAGTGAATGTTATGAAAGAAGATTGTAGAAATAAAAGTTTGCAAGTAAAGGGTTGAATTTATGGGACACTAATTGATTTTACATTACTCTTGGTGTATGTCGTCCTAAATCTTTGAGTACTTTCATACCACAGTTCCCTTTAGACCCGCTGCATTCTTTCCTCTAAATGGACAATATGAAACAACAGATATTAGCCTCAGTTCCAATCCCCCTGGAATACCAGGTGACGTGCAGCTGGCCCCAGGTCCTGACGGTGGTACTGGAGGCTCGTACCAGTTTTCGGGAAACGACAACAGCTTCATCGAGTTTCCGAATAATGGAGGCCTGGATACAAGATATTCATTGACTTTCTTGGCCTGGATTTATCATGAACAAGAGAAAGGATCGATTTTTTATTTCGCTCAACAAGGTTTTGGGTTTGGGGTACGTTTCTCGATCAACGACAATGACCGATTTAGCGCTATCCTTCGAAGAAGCGACAACTTTACGAGGATAAAAATGACGACGAGCAAAATTCTTGAGCCAAGAACATGGCACTTCGTTGGTACCACGTTTAATTTCACAAGCGGTGAATTTAGAATTTGGTTAAATGGAAGTAAAGAGAACGGGAAGTGGATAGAGGAGCCTGTTGAGATATCGACTCAACTGAATGTAATCATGGGAGCTTTTTCAGGAAATTTCAAAGGAAGGATTTCCTGCGTTCAGCTTTACGATCGTGTCCTGACAGAGCAAGAAATTGACGAAGCTAAAAATCTTTGTTCTGCAATAGGTATGGGCCTTACTAACCTTACCAAAACAATTGTTGGTTTTCACACGACGTCACCAAAACTCAAACTAAAAAACTATCGATCCTACCGAGATTTTACTTCCACGATGCATTAGAGCAGCTGAAAACTAATTTTCATACAAATTTTCGCTTCAAAAGGGTTCTTGGTTTTGTCATAGAGTACGCTTGTATTCCTAAGCTTTTGCGTGACACGGCATTTACATGACGGCCAAGAGAGCTGTCATGTAGGTTAAAAATTGACTTATTTCAGGAAATTTTGCTATCTAAACAGTTTATGTATTAGAAAAAGTATTACTTTAATGTTTATGAGTTTCTCGAAGAATAAATTCACGCTCTTATAGCAAAACTCGGTAACAGATATTTTTGCTGGTTTCCGTCCGCCATGTTGGAGCTCATCCAAGTGAGCACCAGCATGGCGTCTCCATACAAATCTCTATAAGTTGAGGTAAAACATTTCTTCGGATATCTCGTATACGAAATGTTTGTCTGACCTGAATCTTGGCGAGGGTCTTTGTATCTCCTTTCATTTCCCAGATTCTGGACTTTATCTATTGAACGGTTTTGATTTTTATTTTGATCTATTTTGAATGGCATGACACTGAAAACCAGCAAAAAATTACCTGGTTGCGATCACAATAGACGACGATATTGATAAAGATGAAAATTTATTCAAACCATTTCAAATTGATTCAATCTCAGTGTCTGTTAATAGAGAGAGAGGTTATAAAGTCAGTCGGCGTTAATTAAGACAACGTAGTTACAGCATTCTCAATCTTAATTTGCTATCCCTTGTCATGTCATCACCATCATCATTATCATCATCACGTCACCTGTACTGCCATCACTATCATCAGCATTATCATCATCATAACCATCTTCATCACCAGCGGCACATATGCATACTCAGCAAAAATTAACCCAATGTTCAAAGGTCAAGCAATTTTTAACGTTATTATTACACCTTTCTGCAAAGGGCGATCGAGTTCCAACCAAACTGCTTACCTGGGAGAAACTGTGGAGCTGAAATGTGATGCTCTTGAAGGTAAAACAGTGCGTTGCAGTAAAGAAGGAGCCATACTTCAAACAAAAACCGCTGGATATGGCACGAGCTTGCTCATCAACTCAATTCAACTAGGCGACGCAGGAGTTTACACGTGTGAGGTTATAAATAGTACTGGATTAATACAAGCTTCCTACATTGTGACCCTGACGGTTAAAGGTACGTAGTTGTTGTTTATAGATTTACCGATTTGTTTACTTACTTCACTCATTTATTTATAACAAAAGTACGCTAACTAAACCTCTAGTAACATGTTGTGTGTAGTATTTCTGAAACAAAGTATAAGGTTGTTGTTGTGTTGCTATAATTTTGTCTCTTCCCAACTCGTTCCCTGACACTGGCCTCTCCCGTTCGCTCGCGTGCTTTTCGCAATCTATCCTTTATTACTTTAATTTTCAGACCCTCGTTTCCTTTGCTCCAAGTTGGATCTCACTGATGACAAAACTGAAAGCCAGTGGAAACGTTGGAGCGTGTTTCCCATAAATTATGGCCAGTCATTTAACGAAGAACAGTGGTTCAAGGCCAATCGAGGCTCTGCAATGCTCACGTCTTGCGTACGACCTGAGTGGTGTGGTACCCAGGCTTCTGGCTGGTTGAATGGAATGAGTCCTTCAAGAGAGTCTGGGATCACTTCTGCTCAAGCTTGTTTCAACTTCCGTGAAAACTGCTGCTTTTATTCATTACCAATACAAGTAAAGAAATGCTCGGACTTCTTTGTGTACAAGCTAAAGGAAATTCATCCACCCTTTCCAGGACAGTACTGCTTCACAAAAGACACACCAGGTAAGTATAAACGACGTGGTCGCCATGTCAATGCATAGTTTTTAAAGGTGATAGAACATTAGTTTGAGTCGAAGTACTACTTTCTTTTTTTTCTTACTGTTGCTTCAGCAGATTTTGTCGACACCCTGAGTAACGTCGCGTACATTTCTAAAAAGATTGTCAGCGCTACTGTTAACTCGTACGAGATTGCAGCAGAGAACTCCGTTGAAAGCTCCCTGCAGTGTATGCAACTGTGTACAAGCTCCGTTAAAGGAGAACAGTGTTTGTCGTTTGACTACAACAACGTTAACCAAACATGTCAGTTGTATAACAAAACGACGCATGGAAATGTTATGAAAAAGGTACAAGTATCAGATGTTTACCGTTATGAAAGATCCGCGCGCGTCCCGATAAGGTTGCCATAGTGAAAAGTGACTTTTGGAGATTCAATGTTTCTTTTGTGTGAATGTTACTGACATACGCTCTGGCTTGATAACCTGGCTAATCAAGAATAACTATTCATTCAAGAAACACATGCTCGATTGCTTTCGATTGAGTGTCACGTCCATCTGTACTCACACAATGCTCCCCACCCACACGCTGTAATATCTCTCAAGAACAGCAGTGATTGACACAGCTCCAGACTCTGTTGTATTGATCGTCCAGTCCAGTAATTTCATTGACTGCTTCACTACCAGAGTGAATAATGGATTAATTTCTCAGCTGACAGTCGAAGCTTCGATTCCCGAAGGCCGGACCAATACTTAGGGTCTTAAACATGTTAAAACAACTAAAAAATGAAGGTACTTACTTTGCCCAACGGCTTAACCCTCGCCTTGAATTTTTCGGATTACCACATAAAATGACGGTCTCGTCTCCACTAGGAGACCCAGATCTAGAGATAGTGCCCTCAATTAGTACTTTCGTTCTTTAAAAATAAGTTGACACACAAAATAAAGTGCGTTTTTTAATTTTTTAATTACATAATTAATAACTTATAAGTTTCAACACTTCAGTTAATGAAAATGGACAAATAACACTCGACAATGAATTACACGGCAAAGCAAATGCCACAAATGATTGCACACATGAACTAAGCAAGCCAAAAAGATACAAACGTTTTACCCAATTAGTGGCGAAACCCTAGATATATGGACAATCAGTAGAGGCCTCATAAAGTGAAGTGAAAATGACATTCCTCGCCAAGAAAGTCATGATCAAAAGGAACACTATTTCCTCAACGAGAATTAATATTTATCAGTTTCCAGCAAGATCGAGAGGCAAATCGAGCGTCTCCGAGCTCTACAATTCGAACGTTTTGTTTCGTATGCATTATTTTCTGCGCGGAGCAAATCAAAATGTTAGTGGCCGATAAATGTCATAAATGCTGTAGTTTTCCTTGGCTGAAGTAATCTCGCTGACCAAAAACCAAGAGGATTCTGAGTGAGGGGTTGCATCTCACGTGACAACCCACAAAACATAAGTTTCAAATGTGAAACGTAGCAATAATCTGTTCTGACTATTAACTATGCGCTCAAAGAGACTGGGTTACCGCTACGGAAAGACTTCTCAATGGCTTCAACTACATGGCATGAGCGAAGCACATCATCTTTAGAAACACTTAACGCCTCCTTCTTTTTTATTGTATTAATAAAATGGAGCATCTCTAGATTATACGACTCAGCATATCTCTGAGGAAATGATTCCTTTAATGGAGGCTCAGAGCATCCCCTAGAGTTAAAAAGATGAGATGAAAAGGCCGACACATTGTCGCTACTAAGCATACCACCTGAACCAAAAACTTCAACGCGTTGGTCGTACCCATACACCGCATGGCGCGACATATCTATCTGACCTATAGCACCGCTGGGGAATTTCATGACCACACCCAAGGTATCAACATCATTGAGGGCTCCTATTTCCGAATTGAAGGCATGCGCCACACAGTAAACTGAAAGGGGAGTCTCCCCCATGATCCAACAGATTAGATCGACGTCATGTATACAGGAGTCGTAAAACATCCCTCCTGAAATCTTTATGTATTCTGCGGAAGGCGGGTGACCGTCGCGACTTGTGGTCTTGATTATATGAACTTTACCAATGTCGCCCTTTCTCACGCTGTTGGCCACGGAGGCGATCGTTGGATCGAATCGTCGGTTGAAAGCACAAAACAATGGAATGTTACGGTTTTCTGCATCTTGGTAACAGCGCTCTGAAAATGAATGAGAGAACAGGTGAGATGTGAGGGGGCGAAGCAAGTCTTTTGCAGACCACACCTTTTTTTCTGATACTGTGCGGAAATACTAACCTATAGCTTCCATGGTAGTAGCAATTGGTTTCTCACAAAGAACAGCTTTTCCAGCCTTCAAACAGCTTACAATCAGTTTTTCATGAAGATGTGTCGGAGTGGTTATCACCGCGGCATTAACACTTGGGTCACTCAAGGCAGTCTCCATATCGGACGGAGGGACAACTTTGGTGTCCAACAGATTCGATTCCACGAACTCCTTGGCTTTGTCTTCGTCAATATCCACAATGTACTTCAACCTCACTTGCGGGTTTCTTATTATATTATTGGCATGGATCATGCCCGCGCGTCCAAGGCCGAACACTGTGAAGCCGATATGTGATCCTTGACTCATGGCAACTATAAGAGGAAAGGGATTAAAATGAGCACTTTGTTAGTGACTTTGCTTGGCAAGGAGATTTTAACATTTTTTATGTCATTCTAAACGGCCTTTGCACTTTTTTTCTCTACATTAAGATAGCAACCTTTGAAGACTATAAGACTATAAGACTAGCATACTACGCAGGCCCTTCTCTTGGCCCGTCACGCAATCCTCCGTGACAACGAAAGCGTGACGAAGCCCCAAGAACACTCCCATAAGAGAAAAAGCAAAACAAGTTGCGTAATTCACACGCATAGAATTTGAAGCACGCTTTAGATTTCGTCAATAAGTTAAGCTTATCACGATTAACTGACATTATCTTGCCCGGAGGAAGTCAAACCGGTCAATTTGGAATAATAGGGACTTTAAGCAACGACTATGGAAGGGCCGGAAGTATTTTTTTTCCCGCCACGCGTCAAAGCCTCAAGTACCACGACGGTGACAGCGGTCAAAACGTCGCTTTTCAATGAAAAGTCAATTCACATTCCCTTAAACTTTCTCACGATAATTACAAGTGGCTCATTTTGTCAAATGTAGGCAAATTCATAGAGGAAAAAAGTTCGTCTTGGTTTGTTTAAGTCTTCAATAAAACGTGAAATTAGGCATTTTGACGTCGTGGTCGTGCATGGATAGCCGCAAAGAAATATTGATGAGAGAATGAGATGGACGTGCAAAGTTGTTGATTAGATAACTAAACTTACTGTCTGGCCGTACTACGCTTCCTGAATACGTAGAAGATCATCAGGATCATGGCTGGCCGTAGTGTCTTGTACGTTAAGTACTTATTACGTTGTATTTTACGTGCTTAGAACGCTAGTCTATATTTGAAACAGAATCGCAAGATAAACGTATTTTATCCTTTTTTGGTCATCCTTGGAACTTTCTGAAGGCTCATTTTTCGATTACAAGCCCCAAATTTCGGTGTTAAGCACGACACCCAAGTGAAAATTACAGCCAACTCACCAAGTGGTGTGAATACTAGCAGGCCCTGAATTTGCCCATGCATCGCCCTTTTTTTAATTTACGAATGTTTTCTTAACGTTTCCCTAGTGCCGTGGGGGGGGGTCACTGCACGGCTTCAACCTCAGGAGAGTTCGCCAACATTTGACAAAGTAAGAGAGTTGGAATAATCACGATAAAGAGTAAAAGAACGCAAATACACTTTTAAGCGACGTTATCTCCCTGACTTGAGGCATTGACTGGTAGCGAAAAAAAAATTACTTCCGGTCACCGTTCTTAAAGTCCCTAATATTCCGATTCTGGTCGAATTTTACTTCGTAAACACTGCCCTTTACTATACTGCCAGAAGGATAACGCGAAACGGTTCAAGGTTTTCCTAAGCACTCGCGACACTCTCGTATCAGTAATTCCGATGTTGGACGGAAATTTTGACTGGTTCTCCATAAAAACTTCGCTGGAACCGCGCTATACCTCTATACACTTCAGAGTTATATACTTCTGTTTTTAGACAAAGGGAATTTTCCAAAAAAAACAAAAAACGAAATAACAACAAAAACACAAATTTGCCATCGGCTATATGAGATGAGAGATGAAGAGTGACCTGTCGCGTGAAGTGCTGCGTTCCTTTCACGTGTAGAACAGGGGTCCAAATATGCAAAATATGGTATGCCTCAGTTCGTAAAAAGAGGAGGAAAAGGAGGTCCAGTAGTCTCCACCCCGCGGAAACAGACGTATTTTCGGTCGTCGCTTCTCTCCAACCGAAAAGTTCTTTGTTGATGAGTTATAGTTTATTGGTTTTAGTCAAAAGAAATCGGAAAAAAGGCAAAAGTATTTCTATGAACATGTATGTTTAGGGCCTGTTTACATAGAGGTGGAGGACCCCAGATAGGTGAGGTAACCCGCTTAGGTGGGATAAAAAAATAGCCCTCCTTTACATGTAATCTTACAACCCTGCCATCCCGGGATGCACTTTCTTAAGATTATTGAATGGTCGCTAAGCACGTAAACAAGAAAAATGCTGGCAAACCACGTGTTTTGGCGATTAATGCTCTTCTACACTCACTTGCTGCTCTTGCTTCAAACTTCAGTGCTGTTGCTCTCGCTCTAATTCTATTGTTACCTTTAATAATTCCAAGCCACCGCCAAAATGAATTTTGCGCGAATTTGATGTATCCCGAATCCGACCCCGGCTGGGCGGGTTACCCCACCTTGAAACATTTACATGGCAAAATTTGACCCCGCCTGAGAGGGTAACCCGGTCTGGCAGATCGGGCTACCCGCCTTGGCGGGTCACCCCACCTATCATGTAAACGTGATCAAATTAAAAGGAGAGATAGTATGGACAGGCGGGTTACCCCCCCCCCCCCCACCTCCATGTAAACAGGCCCTTAGACGCACGTTTTAGGAAGATTGTAACTTCTTTTATGCTGAGTGACTTAAGACTAGGGTCTTTTGTCAGTAGAACTAAATATTGGAATGCCAGCTATGTTTTTCTCTCGTCACGCAACGCTTAAAGGGCGGTGAAATAGTCACGAAACGGTCACTTGTTTGAGAGCTTAAACTTAATGGGAAGATTCCTGCAATAGTTTTGAGACGCTGAACCATTTCTTTAAAACAGAACCTGCTGTAAAATGTGGCCAACGAGCAAACTCAAACTCTGAGGCAAACCTTTGCTTTGTGTCATGGGATGGATTATTTCTAGAAAAGGCGTATTACACTTGCCCCAACACAGCAAAAACTTCGGACGGGTAAAAACGTGTTGTCAGACTGACGCTCCCTCTAGATAGCTATTTGTTTATTTCAGCCGATTGAAAAACCAGAATAAGAAAAGAAACAATCAGCCAAACTTTCTGGGTCAAAGGCCGCGTACTTCACATGAACCGATCAGGGAAAAGACAGCCTTCAGTCAGCCGTTTAACTAAAGGTAGCCTGAAATTCATCCGATTGCTTCGAGTCGTTTTCTCCTCTCAACAACGTCTGAATCGACCGGCCGTTAATGCCGTCCAGTGACGTCACTCACTACCCGAAAACCGGGTAGTGATTTTGATTGGTTGATTGTTCAAACATTCGCATAATTATGAATAATTATGAAAAATTTTAGCGGGATTGTCATTTGATATTCAGCTGATCGCATCCCTGGCATTCGTTCGGTTTGTTCAAACATTTCTATAAGCTTAATCTTTATCTTAAACAGCAAAATTGCCCTTGTCGTCGAAACTGAAACGCTAAATTGAACTGCGAATGAAGAATCTGAAGAATCATCGAGAGTCGGTAGGTTTTTCATTCAGAGCCGCTTTGTGGTTTCGGCGGCCGGTGATTTTGTTTACGTGAAGTTTTCTGAGATCAATGTTATAATTCGACCTTCTTGCTATTTTTACCGTCAAGTGTGATGATTCTGTTAGCTTTTCTTTCTTGTCTCCTTGTTTTTTTTCTTCGTTAAGGACCAAATAGCTTCTTTTCAATTAAAGCAAAGCATTGTGTTTTTGAACTAAGTGTTCCGTGTGTGTGCTTATTTCATTGCGTGATTGCGACCGAGTTTGTTTTTCGAATTTAGTACAACCGGTTCAGAGTTGTAGCGCATGCAGTTGATAGTTTGAACGTTAAACATGAATTACAATCGAAAAAAATAAAGCAGTTCTGTATCATGCAGACATTTCCAAACGATATTTCTCGGTTTGCCACTTGAAAATCGTGTTTTGCTTTTTGCATGAATTAAAGCAAAGGTCAAGGAGTAGTGACGTCACTGGACGGCATTAACGGCCGGTCGATTCAGACGTTACTGAGGGAGTAATAACGACTCGAAGTAATCGGATGAAATTCAGGCTAAACTAAAGGGCGAACTTCGTAATTTGGGTCGACCTAAACGGTTCGTAATATGTGAATTTAGAAAGTTGAAGACCCGGGGCTCACTCGTCACCATTTCGTTACACAAACGGTAAGCTAACTATAAATTTCAGATCACTTAAATTTATGCGTTATTTTAGCCGGTACACTAGGGGAAATAGCCTGAGAAAACAGCCGACATTTTTCCACTGGATTCCCCACGTAATAAACCATTGGTAGTGTTGCGAAATGTGGGCTGTTTTCTTAGGCTACGGGGAAAACGAAATAGAACATCACTTACTTTGCAATGGCTGCCAGTCAGAGAGTGAAATGCCCTTGATTGATCCAGAAGAGAGTGCGAAGTACCCCTGTCAGTTTATACAAATTAATTTTTCGTTGTCACGGAGAGACCGTATTTCAAAGTAACTACATATATAAACGGGTTAAAGGAGAATTCAGATCACACTGAACTTACCGCGTGTATTGTCAAACGTCTATTGAATCAACCACCATGTGGTGTGACAATTATGCTAATGAATCTACAATCGACGGTTGAATGCGTGGCATTTCGTCCCCATGATGTGCATCATAAGTTTGAAACAAAAAGCAAAGATAACATTACATTTGAATCTTCAAAGATCACTCAAGGTCACCTGATGTGTAGCCTCTGCCTGCAATAGCACAGCAGGCACTTGAAGGAAATAGGCCGCCACTTATTTGCATGAAATAACTTGGAACTGGTAGGTATTGAACCCGGGGGGGGTACTCGCAGAAAAATTGGGTAGGGGTGTGCGGCCCGCTTCCCAAAACCCTTACCCTATTTATGACCAAAATCTGCGATTTTCCCTACCCTATTTATGACCTAACCAAAAATTTGATACCCTATTTATGACCTGACCCTTAAATCAATACCCTGTTTCAGACCTGCCTTATAATTATTTCCCTAGTTCAGACCAATGTTAAAGGCAATGTTTATCTGCTTTTATTAGGTTAGGGGGACATGATAAGGAAATAGCTTCTTCTAAAAAAGTGCATTCAAGACTACAGTGCAAAAATCGTTACCCTATTTATGACCAAAATGGCGGCAAAATAGCCAAAATCGATACCCAATTTATGACCAAAACGGCTGAAAAACCCTACCCTTTGGGGCCGCACATACCTATATAGCCCATATTAGGGAGTACCCCCCCCCCCGGGGTATTGAAACTGCGGGTTAGCCATTTGTAGTCCGCGAACGGAAGGAACGCGTGACGAACCGCTAAGAACGTCTGCGTGGGAGTGGGAGGCTATGTTTTACAGTCAAGGGACGGACCATTAGACAAGACAAGACAACCAAGACAAGACAGTGTTTTATTTGGAGTCTTATACAGTCCTTTGTCCTTTGTATATAGAAGTACAAAAAAAGTGTT